TGCGAAAGGCACAGGAATTGTTTGCTTAGCTCCTACAGAGTAAAAATACTGCTTTCTAGCATTTAGACTTTTTTTTTTTTTTCTGCGTAAAGCAAGGCAACAATATCTGTGTCAGTGACACTTATTCGTCCTAGCTTGAAAGATTTACTTTCATCCTTCTCATATTTCTTGTATTTCCTAGAACATTCTCACATCTATTTTATGTGAAGAGCTAACCACAGGAACAGTGTGCAGAATTCCTTCTGCAGCAGTCACAACTCTAGTGATTACCACACAAAACATGCCCGCATCAGCTTATTTTATCCCTGGCTAGGCTCTAACATAGATTTTTGAAAGGATTGGAGTCAGATCAACCCTTTTTGAGTTTTTTTTGGTTGTGGGGTTTTTGTTTTGTTTTTTTTTTTTTTTTTTTTTGGTTTTTTTCTTTTTAAACATAAAAATGTATGGGATGACACCTATAAATCTGTGGCTGCTATACAGAGGGCAGTTTTAGGCGCACTGCAGAAACATCTTTAAGTTAGAGGAAACAGATCTACAGCTTTCAGTATCTGATTCCAGATGTAAATGCTTCCAAAAAAGAAACATCACCTTTTGCTCTCAGTTAAAAGTTTGCATCCCCTAAGGCTGTACCAGTAAGGTACCATGTACCACGTGGTGTAACTGCTATGCCACACATAGAATTTTGTGCTTCCCTGCAAATCTTAAAATGGATTAGTGTCTACAGATTCACCTGCCTGCTCAGCAATCCCTCCCCATTCATCTAATTCACATTATGTCTGGTCTAAATTCATTATCCCTCACTCACAGAGGGCGAGGCTTAGGAAAAACTGTCTAAAATAAACACCAGTCTTGCCTTCGAGCAACTTCTGTTGGTCACTACAGCTGTGTGAACAGTTCATTTTTCATGTGTACACATACAATCCTGCAAGGCCCTGCCAAATTTATGGGGTGTAGATTACTCTTATCAAGGCCAGGAAGTGTACAAAACTGAAACAAAAAGCCAGATATTACCCCCCAAAATCTTTAAAACCATGGAAGCCAGAGCTATACAAATAGTTTTCTCTGCAAGAGTCTCTATTTGTGCATATTATCTCTGAACTTTGAGTTTATTAATAAAGTAATTTTAGAAGGAACATTTTGTATACTTATTTTCTTAAAACATCAACAGCCAGCTAACTTTCTTAATGCAATTTACATTAGCAAAAAAAATTGGAAACATAAGAACACATTTTAGTAAAAGTAAACCTGAAAATCCTATTACAAAACACAGAAAGGAAAAGTCATTAGAAAGGAATAAAAGTTCACATTTTCCCATTTTGCTTTATGCATTAAAAAAAGGTCAGCTTTAAAGAATTTTTTGCTTTGCTCTACTATTTGCACCAAAGCCCAGCTTTGGACAGCAGGTGGTGCTATAGTCTGTATATATTTTGTTGTTAGGCAACACCAATAGCTAAAGCTTACTAAAAGCAAAAGGATAAGGTAAAAAAAAGAGAAACATTCTAAGTCCTGTAGAAGTGCTGGCATGCAGACTTTACTTACAGATGCTTTCATATCAGTAGGTATTCTGTAACAGTGCTAAAAAGTTTCGTAAGAAGGCACTAAAATATTTGTGTCTGTCAAGGATTGCAAATACCTAGCAAAACATGGTTATCAAAGCATGGAAAAAACCTCATGCACAGCTCTGGGCAAGCTGTAACAGTTTTTATGTGGCCAAGGCTCTGTTGAGTAGCTCTGGGCCATGAGGAAACTGATGGAACAGTGGAAGATTTTTGCAGCTCCAGTGAGAGCATTCTGTCTACCTCTCCCTGAAGACTGTCAAGGTTAGCTGCAGGGTCAGATTTACTGGGCCAAGATGAAATACCAAAGCAGGAATCCAAACCCCATGGCTAGGTTAATGCCCTTTCCCCCTCTCTCCTTTCTTCTTTTGCTTTCTTTCTCCTCGTGCCCATCTAAAAGCACCAAACATGGCATCTTTTGAAGATTTTTTTTCTTGCTGTCCATGTTGCCCTGTCTCTATCCCCATTTGACACCTGTAATTTTACTGGGAGAGCTGTTCTGGACTGCAGTCTGCTTGACAGTGGTCCCACCAGCAGCCAAGCTGAGAGAAAACAATTGTGGAAGACTCATTCCCTTCTGGCTGCACTTCCTCTCCTGTTCTCATCTTTTCTTTGGAAAGGAAACTAACAAATTACTCCCAGAATGGGTCCAAGGGGTATTTTTTAAGAGAGTAGATCTTTCTTTCATATATTCCTTTCTGAAACTATCAATCATCCATAGCCTGCTAAAGCCAAGAACTAGGTGTCAGACCAAGGCCAACAGCAGATTGTGGGAGAAATTCTTATCTCAGTTACACAAGTGTGCATCTGGAGGAACTCCAGTTATTAAACAATCTATAAAATCAGGATAACAATAAGTATTATTTCAAAAAGGTTTGTGATGGTTAACTACCAGTAATTAACGTTGGTATAGAAAACAGGCAATGGTTGCCTGGAAATGAAAGGCACTATAGAAATTCTAAGTACTCATTATTTCTGCCATTTGCAATTATGCTTTTCAATGTAATCTATTTGTTGTAGTCAGGGTGCCCATCAATGCTCCCTGCAGACCCCAATGTATTGTCCTTGAATAATTCACTGGTCTCAATAACATTAGTTCACATTTAATTGGGGGGAAAAAAAAAGTTTACCTCTTTCTAGATGCCATTACAGATGAAGGTACAATCAACATGAAAGTCAAATTTCACAAACACGAGGGAGTGGGTGTGAAGGCAGAATAACTTGAAAGTATTTCACTTGAAATGGATGGACTTGAAGATCATTCTACAACTGCAAAATGGGATTAAAAAAATAAATGAAAACACTTTTATTGAATGGGATCTGTTGAAGTTTTAAGATTATTAATAAATTATAGTAGGAGTTAGACTTCAGGGTAAAATGATGCTATAATTACTTACTTTTCTAAAGACCTATTGATGCTTGTGATCCTACAACTATATCTTCTTTAAACACTTTTCTATCCTTTATCAAGGAATGTTCCTATAAACAGATGTAAGTAATTACATGCAATCAAATTAATTGTAAATCAGAACTGGATAAAAATGTTTATATGTCAAGTAAATACTGATTTTTTTTCAAAGATATTCAACTTCAAAAATACATATGTTGAATTTCACCCAGTCTAGTGGAAATTACATGAATATATGATAAATTATTTGTTGGTACTTAGATGGTGCCAAATGAGCAATGTTGCATCACTGTTTTTAAGTAACACACTTTGAAAAATTGTTTCGTGACAGAATTTTTAAGTGGTCTTTTAAAGCTCAAGGTTTGACTGTAAGATGTCCCTGGATAGGGACACCAAAAAATGTGCATGTTACAAAATATGCACCAGAAACACAGAATATTTATAGTACAATATCTAGGTCCACAAAACATTAAAGTCTTAGCTGTTCAGGGATTTAGGCTAAGAAGGAGGCTGCAATCAGAGATAAAGGAGGGTATAGTTGTGTTTCATGGCCTGCATTTTTTCTGCTTTCCAGCTGTTGCAAGAACTCAGCACAGAAAGACTGGAACCGGGAAATTCACAGTGGAGCAGAAAATCAAAATTAAAACTCCCTGCTCAGCAGCTTTGCCATTAACTCCTTCCACAGGAACTTGGGGAGGGCAGGATCTGCCCCTCCAGGCCATGCTGTCCCATCCCAGGGCTCTCTGAAACAGGAGCTCAGTCAGCAGCTGCGTACTGGCTATGGCTTCCCAGCTGTCCAGCTTCCCACTGCTCACACAGGCTCGTGTGGGAGCCAGTGCATCTGGGACTTCACTGGCCAGCAGTGCTCTGGAAAGCAATCAGGTGTTCAGAGCAAACTCAGCACTCCTCACACAGCCACAAAAGTGAGCTCAAGCAAGAACACTGCAAGAGAAAGCAGGCGTTTGTTGTCTTGCCACGCAACTCAAAATTTTTGGTTGCCTCAGACTGCTTACAGACATTATCCTGACAAGTGCAAAACTGCTCAGATAAAAAACTCTACTTCAGCATTTGCACTAATTCAATGGAGAAATAAGAGTAGCAAAAGCACTGACTGTGCAATATTTATTTAATAAGTAATTATCTTACAAGCATAAAACTAAAACATATGAAGCCTTTTCTTTTTTGGGTAAAATTTATCTAAATACTTCCTTCCTTCCAGAGGACTCAAAAATTAATAGAAAAAGCCTAACCATGCTACATTTACAGCAGAACACTTTAAATGCAATGAAAAGAATTCTAAGATTCTACAGAAACAGACGATATTTCATTAAAACCTACTGGTTTTAATTCCTTTGCATTTCTTTGGCTTTTAGATTAAACAACACTATGCACAATACACACAACAACTGTGAAGAGAACATGAAATACAAATAGCTATTAAATTTAAGGTATAGGTTCTTGTCATATACTGGCTGTGAAGAAAGCATTAGGAGACAAAAAGTGACAACAAATACTTTGTTTCTGAACTATGCATGAGTAATTTGGCTGGTTAAGATCTGGCTGGTTATATTTATTACACTCTCAGAGAGTAAAGATCACTATATTCATAAATACAAATAGGAAGGGTTGTAATTTCAATTGTCTAAGGAGATATGTGTTCCTTGGTGCTTACATATTTTGTTAAAGATATAAAAGAAATGCATGCTATTTCTTGCCCACACAAATATGCAGAATTAAGCTACTAACATCAAAGAATTTTTCTGAGCGCAACTGCAGCTTTTGGAGTTCTGTCACACCGGCAGTGTCGCACAGGTGCCTTTTTAGGGCTGACAGAGGACTTATGCAGCACAGCGGTCAGCATCATTGCTGCCCGACCCCAGCTCTGCCTCCCGGGAAGACCGGCAATGTCTGTCCTCGGGGAGCCTGGGACGACAGGGCTCTTTCCCGATCGGTCCCTTTGCTATTCCTGAGCCAGAGCTGCCTCTCCGAGCTGCTGCTGCCGGCCCGTGCGGTGTGCGAGCCGCGGGGGCGGGCCGGGGAGGGGCTGCGGCGCTCGGACAGCGGGGCGGCGGCGGGCACTCGCCCCGGGCCCGCAGGAGCAGCGGCACCCATGCCCGGTAAGTGCCGGGGGCGCAGGGAGGGAGGCAGGGAGACAGGCAGGGAGGGGGTGCCCGGCTCCTCCCGCAGCCCGCCAGGGAACGGGCAGCCTGGAACTGCAGGGCGGGCAGCACCGCCCGGAGCGTCTGACACAGCAGAGCTCGGCCCTGGAGACAGGCACAGCAAATGTGGAGTCTTGCCTCCACTCCCCCTCAATTATTTAATTTATAGTGGGGTTTAGGCCCAGTATATCATTAAATAATATAAATTATTTAATTTATATGTGGGCTTAGGCGGTGTCTTCATATGGGGATTAAAACTTGTGTTGGAGAATGTAAAGTTGCGAGCTCGTAAACTTGTTCATAAGCCAAAAAGCTTACTGCAAAGTTTAAGTAAAGCTTATTAAAAGCATACAATCACACAGCAAGCAAAAAGGGATGCAATCCCAGAGGAGACAGAGGATGCCTGTCAACACCTGCTCTATGCTAGGATAAAGCTGGTACCTATTAGCAGGAGACAGTCCCCTGGCTCAGGTGGGGGGAGATGAAGGGGTCCAACAGGTCTCTTCCATCTCCTCTGCCATGATCCTGTACCACAGCAGGATACATCAATTTCTCACGATGACAGGTAGTCATTTTAAAAGATACATATTTTCTCCCTGCACACAATGGATGCAACTTATCTCAGTGGTCGATTTGTGACTAGTGCTACATTGTGCCCTAAGCCACTGGTTCTGTTGCTGATCTAATCAGACAAGATGGTTTAAAAGCGAGACAAATTCTCCTTACTCGCATTAAATTACAGGTAACTATTGAAATGAATAAAACTTTACCTTATATCTACAGCTATGTAAAGTTTAAAAAATCCCAGAATTTGAGTCTATGCCTATGGGTGTGTCATGAATGCTTATCATTCTACAGTGAACAAATTCAGTACAAAGTCATTAATTAAGAGATTGGAAATTCCTTCTCTTACTCCAAAATCAATGCACACCTTACTGTCTTTCATGGTAAATGGTGACAAACTGGCTATAGGGGAACACAGGACTAGCTGCTGAGAGCATCAAAGATCTGTAAATGAAGAGGACAAGTTAAACAACGACCTGTACAGCTTGCTTGAAATGTTAACCTTTCAGACCCTTATGTTAGACAGTAAAAGCACCAGCCACATAGATATTTGTGTTGTTTACAGTGCACCTACACAAAGGAAACCATAATTTCTATTATGTTTATGGGTATTAAACTGAAGCATTTTTTCTGCATTTGGCCTTCTCAGATACAATAAAATGTGCGTCTGAAGATATATTTGAGCATGCCCTGCAAAACTAAAAGGAACAAACACACAAAATTCCCATGCTCATATGCATTTCCGCATACTGCGCATTCTTATAAAGGAAAACCAATTTACCTACATGGCACAATCAGACTTGTCTCTGTATTAATATTAACCCACATCAAGCAGGTGCTTGTTTCCTGTTGCTCAGAATAAGGATGGCACTAATAGCCTGGCTGAGTGCTGGACCCTACTCAGTTCACCTACCAGCTGCAAGGACAGCAAAGTGCTGTTGCTGTGGCACAGCCGTGAGCAGGGTGGCTGCTCCGTGGTGGTGCTGGGAGACAGGAGTGACTGTGTGACTCAGGGAAGCAGCCAGCCAATTCCTGCAGAGCCTAAAGCAACGCACCTGGAGGGGAGCTGCAAAACCAACTTGGCTCCAGTGACTCCACCAAATACAGGAAAATGAGTCAAGATCAGATTAAGGCCTTTGAGGTGCTATGGCCAGGTTAATTTATAGCACAAGGTAATTACTTAAGTGTTCTGTAGCTGAAGGACATTTCATGTCACTTACTGCAACAGGGCAACACTGAAAAAGATCAGCAATATATGTATTTGCAACTCGCCTCCCATACTCTTTAAAGCTCTAATGAATAAACTAAATTAAATGAAAATAGTTTGGAACAATTCAAAACTATTATTATTTGATAGTCAAAACTATCACTAGTGTTAACTGATTACTTTGTGCCTGTATTGTCTTTATTTCACTTGTACTGTTGTACAGAGATGGCTAACTGCAAGGTACCTACCAAGCACAGTCAGATAAAAAGAAAAAGGAGTAAAGCATAATCAAATTAACTCTACCTAAAAGCAGAGAAGAGGAAAAAATTCAGTACCAGCTGTAAGAAAATGCCAGGTCACTTCACTACTTCAGTTTCAGGGGAGACCTTGAGAACTGTCAGCACCGAGTACTCAGCTGCTCCTGAGCTGTCTGCCATGGCTGCAGAGTGGAAGATAGTTCTAGAGTTTAGGTAGAGAGCAAAATAATCTTTGCAGCCTATCACTCCAGCATTCTCAGCAAACATGTGAAAGCAACGAATTGAGCCCATTATCAATTGTCTATCCTTGGTCTAACGAGAAATTCTCACAATAGAATTTCTTATATTCATATTAAATACATTTATTAAGTTCTATTTGGGTTTTGGTTTGTTCTCAGTAATTATAACAAGATTTTGTTGTAGTTAAGTACTCACGGTTCAGGAAACTGTGTTTAACGGATATTTAACTTGGACTTCACAGATCAGGAAACACATGCATCCTTACAAAGAAAACAAGCCATAGCTTTACTTTGTTCCTTGTGGCAGGGTCTAGATTCAATTCAACATAGATGAATAGTTGGAAGAACAAACCAAACCAAAATAATGGTACCTTTCATATTAGGTGTTCCAGGGTTCTCTTTTTTTCCATTATGCAAGCTCTAGCACTTCTGCCATGCTACAGTAAATGTTAATGCAAAACAGAGCCTAAGCAATTCTTTGGCATTTGGGTTTTTTTCATGTCTGTAGTCTCTCATATTGCAGTAACTGCAAGTGCTTCTGAACACTGTAATCTGTCACTGCCATTGTCAGAAGTCTTCAGGTGCTGCACCATGCTATAACCAAACAAAAATGTATATGTGAGCTGAATGCTTCATTTAAAAATAATTTTGGAATGGTTTTTGTTAGCTTTAATATTCCTGTCTACACCCAAAATATACTTGACTTTGATCTTCCTATGATGTTTTGTGTGCTTTTATGTTTGAACAGAACAAGCAGTTGCTGTGGCTGGAGGTATAATAGGAGGGATCCTTTTATTTTTTCTCATTGGAGTAACTGCATATCTGCTCTGGAAAAAATTTTGCCGCCTCTCTTCTTATGAAAAGCTCATCAATCCTGTCAAAACAACAAATGCAAATGCCATTTTCCAGGATCAGGCAAATTCTGAAATTCATCTAAAAAGCACAAGGTACCTTTTTTCACTTTGTTTTTAAAGCATATGCTGTGTAATTTATTTCAACTTGTCAAATATCAGATGAGCAGGTGATCCAAATATATGCATGTACAGAAATAAAGGAGATCCCTAAATTATATGAAAACATCAGTCATGTTCTCTTTTGTTCCTTTAGGAAAAGGAAATTATGAAATCATATGCTGTGTAATTTATTTCAACTTGTCAAATATCAGATGAGCAGGTGATCCAAATATATGCATGTACAGAAATAAAGGAGATCCCTAAATTATATGAAAACATCAGTCGTGTTCTATTATGTTTTGTTCCTTTAGGAACAAATGTTCTGTTCATGTTTTGTTCCTTTAGGAAAAGGATAATCTAACTATGAAAGTGATGATTATTCCTGATTTATTTAAAAGAGAGAATATATTCAAGTGTAATTGGTGAATGGATATCTTTACCTGTTAGACAAACCCAGCCTAGGTTCCAGAGTAATTTCTAGTCTAATAAAAAAAACAATAGGACTTCAGGAAGGAGACTCTCTAAGAGAATTAATCATTGCAGGGGTTTTGGGCTCTAAAACAAGCAGCTGTAGTTAATTCTTCCTTTCCTTTGAAAGACAAATTCTAAAGGAAAGGAAAGGTGGAAAAAGAATAATCTGTCAGAAGACCTAATGTGCCTCACTTAATTGCATTAAGCAATTGATTTTATTTTTGCCTTTGCATATCTGTAGAATTTTTACACTCTGACGTAAGAACAGTAAACTTACTACTATTATCAAGTTTGATTTCCAGCTTTAAACCAGAAGAGTCAATAGGTGCTGTTGTCTTGAGCAGATCCAGAAGTGTTCCATTTATCATTCCACCAACGCTGCATGGGCGAGACTGGGTTCACCTGACCAATGAAGAACAGGTTCAGCAAGACAGGGATCCCTTCATGACCCCTCAGTCTGGGCCACGGTCATCATTTCATTCTTTGGGTATGGCATTGCAAAAATGGCACTATTTTTAAGGGTAGGGTGGCTTTACATAATTTAGTAGTTTATTAGATACGTAATTTAGTATTATGTATCTTGGGGGCACACCAGAGATTGCATTACACAGCACAAGCCCTAAATGCTCCATACATTTATATATTTTATGTATGAGAATTGGGCAAGAATGTAGTCATTTTGGTCCCAGTGCTGTGGTACCTTGCACATTTGGCAGACAAAGCAATCTCTCCTCTCATATTTTGTAAAGGCCAGGAAGTCTCTGTTGTCCCCAGAAACAGCAGTCACCAGCTGCACAGTGCAACAACAAATAGCTAGAACTAACCAGGTACAATCACAGGAATAAGAAAAGCAAAGTAGTGCAGCCTACAATTACTCCCCCAAATTTGAGGGAAAAGGAAACAAAATATTAAATTATTTAAAAAATTGATTGTTGATAAAGAGGGGAATCTGATTTACCCAAATACAGCAGTGGTTATAAAAATGCCTGCAATGGTTCTTGAGGCTAATCTGAGGGTGCTTGTTTTGCCTTTTCTTGTAGCTGGAGCTTATGTTGTAGGAACCATTAACCCAGATCTGTACAAGTTTCCCGAAGACAAAAGTGAAACAGATTTTCCTGATGGCAGCATTGGCCGCCTCTGGTTCTCCATAGAATATGAGCAAGAGTCCGAAAGGCTCCTTGTATCCTTGATCAAAGTCAGAAAGCTGCAGCCTCCTGCTGATTCCTGCAGTCCATTTGTGAAAATCTACCTGCTGCCTGATGAAAGAAGCTACCTGCAGTCCAAAACAAAACGTAAAACTCTTAACCCGCAGTTCGATGAAAACTTTGTTTTCCAGGTACTTTTTCTTTTGATGAGGCAGATTTTTGTTTGCAAATATTAACTTGTCAAACTACAGTAGATGTTTGTATGTTCACAGTGCTTCTACCAAGATAGAAGCTGTTTCCACCAGACACAGGATTTTTTACTGGGGCTTCTGGAGAACCTGGGCTTAGAAGTGTGTGGCTCCAGAACTGCTCTTACCTCTGGTCTGTACCAAAGTTAAGGGTTCCAGAACTTGCCCTGGGAATAACAAAAACTCCAGTTTGAACTACAGCTGAGCAGTTCAGCCCAGCAGTTCTAGAAGGCCAGAAGGAGCCAATACTGACATAATGCTTTCACAGCTTTTGGTTTCTTTGCTGTGCAAGTAGGTTAGACAGCAGAACCTGGGAGGTATCTCTGGGCTGCTATTTGTACAGTACTGCACAGCTTGGCTTCCCATGCTAACAGGCTTGCAGCACACGTCACAAGACAAAAGCTTTAAAACTAAAAAAAGTTTGTGTTACAGATTCTAAACATCCGAGTCTGAAAGTGAATGGATTACATACACTAGATCCATGTGAGCTAAAAAACCACCAATTAACTTCATAGCTTTCAAATGAAATCATATTTTAGCTTGTATCTTGACTTTTGCATAGCTCAATTTTTAGGCAAATTTTAAAAGTACTTCAAATAAATAAAGGAAATATCTACCTAACCTTACCACAGTTTGAAAAATATTTCCTTTGAAGTCATGCTAGAATAGGAAAGTGTCAGATGTTTTATATATTAATATTCTTCATTTTCCTGTACAGGTTTCCAGTAAAATGTTGCTCCAAAGGACACTAAAGTTTTTGGTTTATCATGTTGATAAACAGAAGAAACATCATCTCCTAGGCCAAGTTATCTTTCCACTAAAAAATGAAGCATTAACTGAGGACAACAAACTAGTCATATGGAGAGATCTGGAGAAAGAAAACTTGGAGGTATGTGATACTGGGCTGCTTGGCACTGTGGAACTTCTGTCATCTTACAAGTATTGGGAGGATGTAGCTGAAGTAGAACTATGTTCTAATTCAAATGCAAGTACCTCAAATGCAAAAGTACTTCATAAACATTTGGAATAGAAATTCCCGCCTTACCAACCTGCAGATCGATAGCTGTTGTAAAGGGAGTACTCAGATGCTTTAAAAAATTACATGAATTAGGAGGTTGTTACATAAGAACTTTCGTTATTTGCTTCTCCTTTCAATTAGTAAGAGCAGAAGAGACAAGGAAATAGATATCCCCTGGAAAAGAGTAATTCTGAGGGTTAGGAAGGCTGATTAATTGGTTCCATCAAAAGTTACAACAGCATAAATAAAGCCATTAGAACTCACTCATACACCTTAATGTGACAGAAACCATGAGCATGAAAAAGGATTGGTCTCCCCATTTGACCACACAATGAGGGAGTTTTTCAGACATATTTGACAGGTGTTGTTCTGCTTCCAAAGCCTCCTTCAGAGCATGGTGATATCCAGTTCTCCCTGAGCTACAATGACTACCTGGGCCGTCTCACTGTGGTGGTTCTGAGGGCCAGGGGATTGAAGCTCCAGGAGGAGAGCCCTGCTGTTGGTGAGTGGGATTTCCTCCCTGCTATCAGCTCCACAATTCCTGTTTTAATTTGCTCCTTCCTCATCTGTACACCCAGGCTTGTGCTGTGGGACTCTGACAGGAACAAATAAACATCCTGGTGATTTGAGTGGAAACAAGCCATATTTTGTCCTGAGGCAATTAGATTTTGATAGCTTAGTTTTGATATGTTTGGGGTTTGTTTCATATTAAAAGGTTTGTCCTGTGGCAACTGGTGGAGCAACATCCTTTTTACTGCTATCCAGTCCAGAGAAGGCAGCATTTCAGGGGATATTGATATGAACAGTTGCCTCAAGTCAAATTCCCAGAGGTAACAGCTGCAGGACAACTGCTTATGCTGAACAGCTATCCTGGGGGGAGCTTGGGAGAAAAAAAAATCCCCGTTTAGGGCAGCCTGGCTATTGTTCAAAGGATCAGGGCATGGAGTCACAATTTTCTTCCTTAGTGCAGAGGGCTTCTTCTGGTACATGATACTCATGTATCCCTGGTCTCAGAGATTACCTCAAAATGCTCTTTAAAATCCAACACTCAAAAGCAAAAACAGTTGAAGAACCAAACTTGTATCTCAGTCTGTAGTGATTTCTTGCAGGCCTTTGAAGCTAAACAATATAAATGCAAAATACACCTACAATTAAAAAAAAAAAAAGAAGTTAAGTCCTCTATATACACACATCACTATGAAGTTCTTTTTTGACTGAACAAATTAAGCCTTCAAAAAAGTCTCCACAAGATGAAAGAAAGGCATAGAAACATAAGATCAAGGATGCAGGGTAAGAATATGACTGCTTATTTTAACAGCACTTAAATTGGAAAGTGCACTGCCAAACTGAACCCTCAGTACTTTGTAGGCTCCCTGCTTTATGTCATGCTGTCATGTGTGTTCCATCAATCTTTCACAATCTGATGTTATAATTGATATTGACTCCCAAAAGGAAGAAACTCCTTAAGCCATCTCCCAACTGCTTCTTGAAGATGTCTTTTAGTCTTGAATTTCTTTTTCCCCAAGGTGTGTATGTCAAAGTCTCACTAATGAACCATAATAAATTCATCAAAAGTAAAAAGACAGCAGCTCTTCTGGGAACTCCCAATCCTGTGTACAATGAAACCTTCAGTTTCAAGGCAGATCAGACAGAGCTGGATACAGCAAGCCTGAGTCTATCTGTGCTCCAGAGTAACAAAGGAGAAAGTAAGTTATATAAATTATTACAGTCAAGGTGTCAAATCTCTTACATATTTGAGACATATTTAAACCTGAGAGGAAGTAATTATTTTTCAGCAATAATTATAAAACATGTAAGAGTTCTGGGGCATTTCAAAGGCTGTCTCTTTAAAAGAAGAATAACTTATTTGTAGTTAAGCATATGTCTGTCTTTCAGAGGCTAAATTTCACGGAACACATGAATAAAATCAGTGCAGACTAGTCAATGCCAGTACAAGGTGCTGTGCCTTTGTTTCATTCCAGTATCCCATTAAAACAAGCTTATGTGAACACTTACATGTGTAACACACAGCCTGAAAAACTGTGTGGCTGTTCACTCTAGGCAAATTTGAAAGAGGAATAGGAATTTTAATTCTCTCAGCAGTGAGAAAGATTAGCAAACATCCCCATTCCCCTGGCAGAAAACCTGATGCTTGAGGCCACCTCTTACTGTTAGAGAATCCATTAAGGAGTTCTGCTTACAAAAGCAAATCAGAATTCAGTATTTCCACTGCTCACAAGAAAAACATCTCTGCAGTGCAAATATGATCTCAATAATTTTCCCCATTCATAGCTGAAAAATCCAGGCATGAATAAACAATCTGTTTCTTGGCAGTGGCAACACACACATTACAGCTGTCTCAGTAACTGCATTTATTTTTTGCAAAGCCAGAGCATCATGCAAATCCTACTGAGGTTGCTGATGCCCATAATTAGGGCACACTTCCCCAGTAAACCTGAGGTCAAGGGGTAGGGCAGATACAGATCAGATATTTGTGCCTTGGAGATGTTTAACTGCAGGCAAAAGGACAGGCCTGACTAAACACCCACTTACTGCCATACCTTTTTTAATGCTGAACCTCAGCAGGCAGAAGCTACAAAACCTGAAGTCCAGAGTTATTTCCTTGAGGAATATTTTGGTATAAAAATACCTTTTAGAACTGGCATTACTTGGAGAAATACATGTTGATATTCTAACGTAGGCAAGGATTTCAGAGAAGCAACACAGGTGCTCATCACTAACTGCTTTCTTTTTTCCTAGAAACACTTCTGCTGGGACGAGTAGTAGTTGGGCCTTTCATGTACACACGTGGCAGAGAACTGGAACACTGGAATGAGATGATCAGCAAGCCCAAGGAGCTGGTTAAACGATGGCATGCTCTCTGCCACAGCACATGAACAGCACTGAGAAAAAAAAAAACCTTAACATGGAAAAGCTCTTACTACCTTTCTGATCTAAAGGGTACAAAAATATTTGCTAAGATTATTAACCCAAAGAAGAATAAAATAAAAATAAAAGATTTGGTTCCTGGTAGGCTGGGAGTCCCTCTTTCCTCTCTTCAAAATAAATGTTAAATTTATTTAATATGCAGCTGAGCAAACACAACAGCCAAAAATGACCTCTCAGTATTAATTATTTTAACTGGTTAATTCCACTTCTTGGTCATGAGTTCTGGGCACAAATGATCACACATGTAGACAGAAACCAAAATGACCCAAGAACTGCCAGTGATGACACCAGGCCTATCTGCCCACTGCTCCACATCACCACAGTGGCTTCACCAAAGGGGAGAGAAGCCCAGTGAGCATGCCAAAACACATAAAGCCCAAAAGACACTGTCTAATACATGCAGAACTTGTTCAAAAGAGCAGCATTGTATTTAAGACCTCTTTTGAACAGGAAGGGTGAAGGCACTGCTCACTGGTCACACACCTGGAAGCAGCTGTTCACATCCCTCAGCACAGTGTATTTCCTGCAGGAACTCAGTTCAATGTTGTCAGCTGACCCCAACTACAGCACTTTGTGTTAAAAATAAGGGACAAGTAAAGAAGTCCCAGAGTCACAAGTGACTGGAGGCTATTCCAGTACTGGAGTACTCTGAGACAGTAAGATGAGGACATGTCCTGTCCTTTTATATTTCTCTCTAAACACATCTCTGCTGAAGACAAAGCATTGATTACAAGAGCCTTGGGTTTGACCTAGTATGACCATTCTTACACTGAAAATCCAATTAGCTTAAGGCCCCTGGGCATATGTCTGTTTTAGTAGTAGAGTCCTCTTCATTAAGTAAATTACTGCTCTCTAAAGTAATTCAGAGCAATTATTCCTAATCAAAATAAAATAGAACATTTTTCTCTTTTTGATTGCTCTCTGGGGACCTCAGCTCTGTACCCTTCTCACTGTACAGCCATAAACCAGACACACTGACTACTGCAGCAAAACATTTTGCACAATCATGTTCCATAACCTCTACAGCTGAAATCAAACCAACTTCCTTTCAAACAGGACACAATATTAATTAATTCAAAATCTTAAAAATATTGGACTTCTCTGGGGAGATGAAACAACTTTCCATTTTGATAATACTGTTATTACCTAAAGGAAATGTTATGAATGAGAAGATACCACAGAGGAATTGTAAGATAACAGACCTCCCTGATCCACCATCTGATATGTTACATGGTATCCTCAGTCTGTCTTGCTAATTACAGCACAGGATACAAAATGAGCCTAAACTCATTACAGTAAACTGAATTTGACAAAGTGCTTAACACTCATTTATCTTTGCTAAAGGAGTAATATCAGCAACTCAACACCAAAGAGCTGTATTCAAATTTCAGCCCCACAAAACTACTGCAAACCAATCTCATAAGCAAAGTTAATGCATGTGTTCTGGGAAGAAAAACTACTCAGTTATCACACAGTTTACATATTACCAAAATAAAGTGATTTTACCAAATAAAGTTTGTATTTTATTATTTCAATCATACCATTAAGGATCTTAAAAGTAAGCAGTTAGTAGTATTTCAGACAGCTGGTTTATGAGCTTGGGCAGAAGATGCATGCAATGCACAGTGTCTGTTAACAAATACCCCTAAGGTGGGCAGTCACCTGGCTGACCTGATGCACAGTATGGTCCTCTTCTTCTTATACATGAAAGTAACAATACTTCCAGCTTGTGTGTTCAGTAATTTCAGCTAAATTGTGAAGAAACAAATCCTAATGCACTTACCAATGTACTTGTACTCATGGTCATCCAAGGGAAGCACATGAGAAAGGCACTTTTTGACTCTACCTGAACAAGAGTTATTTCAAAGCAAGAAACATCATCAAATAAGGAGTTCTAATACAATGTTTTTAACTGCCACATAATGAGCATTTTTTTTACTTACTGCCTTTTATATAACATCCACCTGATCTTGTGCTTGAGACTTACCTTGAGCTGAAGGAGGTGGAATGATTACAAGACAGTTCTGTTTTACAAGAGAAAAGAGCAGCAGCAAAATTGCTGAGGGTAAATGACAAAAATTCTGCTGTCAAAAGGAGAGCAACCACAACAGCAAAACAAAACCACCAAGCTACAGATAGCACATGGGATAAAGCAAACAAAAATTGTGTAACTAAAATATTACTGAATTCTCTGTCTTCCTCTAATATGCCAGGTCTCAGGAAAATTCAGTCTCTCACAATAGTAGTGAATTTTTCTGAGAAGAAAAAGGAAAACAGATACTTAAATTGTTGGCATTTATTCACATAATTATTAAAATAAAAATACATGTATAAAAATATACTTTATGAAAATTCACCAGTATTATTCCAGCAGTATATACCATTAGCAGATATTCCATACCAGTCCTTTTGATAGTTTTGCTTTTTTCATAAGTTAAAACCAAAATCCTTTATTATAATTTTATAAGAGATTTGCTTCCTTCAGCTGAGTAATTTTTCTTTTGCTTCCCATCTATATGTCCTTATAGTCCTTGTTACTCAGTTAGTGCAGAGGTCAAAGTTCAGGATGAAAATTCAGCAGATGGAAATCCTTTTGCAAAGGATAGCTGTTTTCATCTAGCACGAAGTGGCTTCTGATTTCCAGCAAATAGGATGCTTCTGTATCTGCCAGCAGTGAATGACACAGATCTGCTACTATTGTGCTGTAGGTTATATCTGAAGAGGGCACTGCAAAACACAAAACAATTCAATTTACACTTGATTTTCACAATAGCACCTAACATTCAAGATCTACCTCCATGAAGCTCCACTGAATTACTGGAAGTGAAGTTCAACATCTGAATAGAAAATTACCTTTTATTTTTAATTACTTCTAAAAAACAATCAGCTGAGCCTGTTTCTCATTAAACTGTTAACACCTGTGAATTACATAAAACACCTCAAGTCCAACAGGATGTATCAAGTGAAGCTTGTCTGAAACACAGCTCAGTGTTTCACACCATGAAAACATGCCAGCTCCTTCTAAAGGCTCCTAAGACATTCTATTTTGCACATAAGGACTCTATTTAGCTACTGAATATTTAGGTATATAACTACAACTACTTATATAATAGGTATTCACACCTACTTAGTTATATAATAGGTATTCACACTATTCTCACCATCTCAACAAGAGGTTGTTGCAACCTCTTCTCTGAAATTCTGAGTTTGTCAAACAGCCACTGAAATATTCTTTGATGTTGGTTGCTTAGGGCTTTTTTAAACTGTCAATGATTTAAAATTTTGCTTCCATTGTGAACTTTGCTGCCTGTTTCTATCACAAGTAATTCATGAATCAATACCTACTAATCTCTTCAGCCAGTCTGCAGGAATATTTAGGAAGATTTTTTCCACCAGCTCAGACACCACATGAACATAAATTTCGTATCCTTCATCTTCTACAGTCATCAAAGCAGGTCTAGGCCAGAAAACAAAGTTTCATGAAAGTCACCTGCTGTGGTTTGTTTTTTGTTGAAGCAAAATTTTAGAAAGCACTACAACTTCATCTTACTCTGCAATGTAATACCAAGAAATAGAAAAATGAGAAAATAGCTCTGCACTCATGTGTCTAATCTGTAGGACTGGAATAAGTTTGAGCAATAAATAAGGAAACGGCCTTAAATTGAGACAGGACACCCAGATTAGACATTAGAAGGAGCTCTTTTACTGTTAGGATGGTCAAGATTGCCCATGGAGGAGGTGGTGGAAATGCAAAGCAGGGACATAAGCTTAGGTGTATCACTTGGAATTGTACCATCTGTAACAACATCACTCTGTATTATCTGTCTTAATACATCACTTTATAGCCACACAGTACCAAGGTATATCTCTTGTTCTGTAACAAATACCAAATGTTTTCACAAACCACTGAACAAATAAAAATCCCTGTTTGGAAATACTCCCAAGGTGAAGCTTTCTTACTAAATTGATCAGCAGAAAATTTCAGTGCAAAAATGCCAGGCTTTTCTCTGAAAAAAAATGGCCACATAAATTCTACATCTGCATGTGATCCTGTGCTGAGAATACAAACACTGGAAATCCTTATAATTTTTCTACCATCTTTTGTGCAGGAGCAAATTGAGGTCCTTCATGCCCATTGAGATTTTATACTCTTATGAAAGATTGGCAGAACCTTTTCAGTTCAGAAAAAAACCTTTCTGCACTTAATCCTCCCTCACAGGAAAACAAATAGCACAAAGATGCAAGATTATTTTGCTTAGAGGAAAAATACTAAGTCCCTACCTGGTTAGATAAATAAGATATTTAAGTCCTAGTTCTTTAAGTAATAGTATTTAAGTCAATGATTCATTAAGTTCATTATGAAAGAGTTCAGAAAGAATTTGAGAAAAAAGATAGAAAATTTACATATTCTAGAATTCTATCACATCCATGGTTGTCTCAATAAACATTCTCTAGCTACATGTCTTTCTAGTCACAATGACAATTACATTTCAAAAGCCCAAGATAAATGTGAGAATTGAACAATTAGTTAATATAAAGATGTACCTACATCAAATGGATCCACTTAGCTTATTTTCTCTAAGTGTGAATACATGTGTCTCACAGTGCCATCTGGTGATAACTCACTATCTCTGCTCTCTGAGAATGTTTATTGAAAACATTTGTCAATATTATTTCTGCACAGCTGAAACTGACTAATCAGTTTAAAAACATGGTTCTGCATTCACGAGATTTCCGATTTAGGCTGGAACAAGATTCTCAAGGAGTTTTCCTTTGGTCCTCAAGCTTTATTCCATCTTAGCTTTATCTGACACAATACTGGGTACACATCATTCCTGCATGATATAGTATTCAAAGAAATTAAAAAGTTAGTTTTAAACGAAGAATATAATGTATAAATAATGACTATATAAACAGCAATTCAAGAACAACAAATTGAAAATTCATTAGAGAGACAGGGATTGCTAACCTCACCTTAAACAAAGAATTTCAGATATGGGGGATATTAAAATGGAGACAGTTTACCACCCTAATAATACACACTACTTTGGCTCTATTTTGTTTACCTGTAGAATGTTTTTACTTTGCTGTATGGCAAACATCTAACACATTGCTTATAGATCATGTTCTCATCTGCCTGTAGTTCCAAACCACATTTGGCACAACCTGAATACGTAATCATAGGCAGAGAAGCCAAAACACATTCCAGTGAAGTGTCAGCAGAGAAGACGAGTTGCTTGTACTGCCCAGTGGAAATGGTAAACTTCAATTCCAAGATATGGGCTTTCACCTGAACCACTCCTACAAAAACAATTCATATACGAATTAAGCTTAATTTGGAACTGCAAGCAAAATCAATGGCTACAGCTGATTAGAAACTAAAATTGCTATCAAGAACCTTCTGTTTTTTCCTCTTTGTTACCAGAGAAAAAAATCTTCATGCTATTAATCAACTTCCATTTTTAATATGTCCCTGTTTTTAATCTTCTATCTCCACAATTCTCAATTTGACATCAACCTAGTTTAACTTTTCTTAAAAGAACAAGTCTAGGAATTACTAGTAAAAATTGGTAAAATTTGGTAGGAGTCACTGCTGAAACGCAGTCTATGTAATTCTTGCAAGAGATGCTTTTACTTAGTTACAGCTGGACTTGATCTCAAGATCATCAGGATACAAAGCCTGACACAAGTAAAGTGGAAAGCAGAATTTTTTTTTTTAAAGTAGTAGGAAAAAACCCAGTAATTCATGCTAAACCAGACAATGATAAGGAAGGCTCAGAAAAACTGGTAACACAGTTAACACTCATGGATTTTTACAGTAACATAACCAGGCACTACATAAGTAAGTGCATCTTGTATATAGATTCAAGTTTTTAAATATTTATGCCTTCTCAGTCTTCTGAAGTGCATTCAAATTCTGTTGCTGATGGCACTGCTTCTAAACAGAGGAGATATGTTAGAATTAGCACAAAATACATTACCCCTCCAAGGGGACTATTTAAAGGTTGAATGGATAAATGTTACCAGCTGAATACTTAAAAGGCACTAACAGCATCACAAAAATCCTTTTAGACCTAACAATAGGTACAAAGACCTTACCTTTTTTCCTCTGAAGCTGGGGGTACCAGGCAGCCCCTGATCCCCACAGAACCATCCTATAGTGTTGATCTCTGTTCTGTTCTACTGTTAGAAAAATTTTTTTTTGGCTGCCACCTCTGTAGCTGTACACAGATTCTGAAAAAAATTGAAATTACATTACTTCTACAGTAAAAAGCACATAAGCACACAAACCCCACATGCCCCAGTATTACAGTGAAATCAAGGTGTTATCACATTTTTTGCTACAATTAAAAGCAAAGAAGAATACACCTGTAATTTCCTCTGGACAGAAAATAACCTGCTTTCTTCTGCAACAGGAATCTAGTTTGAGGGAGTGCATAAAGTCTATTAATTAACTTTTATCCATCTAAGTACTCAGTAATTGGACAACTCCCTTTGAAGCAGGAGGTATCCAAGCATCTTTCAGCTCCCATTCATCCTGACTTGTATTGAGTACAAAGAAGTTGTACTCAATCTCTCAGCAACTGTTGTAATTGGAAGTTCCCATAACTTCTGTAGAATACAGCAGAAGAAACATTTCTCTAGAAGTTTTGACATTAAAGAAAACTATAGGCACAAGGTGTACAAGGCAAACTAAAATTATTAGTAGCAGTACATACAAATCTCTGCATAGCTCTTATCCAGGATACTCCATGTTTGTTTCAGTTCCACACTAAACTACAGCATTTTTCATAAATAATTTTTGAACAAGAACACCTGGACAAAATATCTAACTAATATCTAGTTCCAAGATTATGAAAATTTCTATCTTCAAAATTCTGCATTTAAAACTAATAAACATGATATTGATGATGTGGGTAGAAATTTGTATCCTACCAGTTCAAGATGATAGTGCAATGTGACCAAATTTTTGTGCAAAGCTTGAAATCAAGCAGTGAGAAACATTTTGCCTTGCCAAATTACTATTTAAGTTCCACCTATTGCAGAAGTTGAAGTCCAGTGCATGAACTTACCTGTTAACACAGAAATATTGATAATTTTCAGGACTGAGTGCACCAAAGTACTTGGCTGGAGCTGATCTAGCTGCACATACTCAACATCATCCAGTCTCTGAACTTGTCTTTGTGGAATGTCTCTGAAGTGTGGAAATTCTGATGATATGTATGCCAATAAGCCATGGAGAACACCATCATCCACAAGAGGATAAACTTATATGGAAAAAAGGCAAAGTCACATACTGCTTTTTATGATAAGAAGTATAAAACTTGTGACTTGGAACATGTTTACACTGAAAAAAATCAGAACGGTTTTAGAATAATTTTAAGGTAAGAAATTCCTGAGATATATAACACTCAATTTGAAATTAAACTGTACTTCAGGGTAGTATCAAGAGGAGGCAGATGAAGTTAAGCTAAGTGCAATACTTTAAAATACACCAAAAAACCCTTGTATCATAGCTTGGTAAGAAGAAAGCTGTTCTTGATCACTGACCTCAGAATCTGCCTTAAGAGCTGGCATCACACCAGTGGACATTACAAAGACAGGAAGAGCAATGGTAATACTTCCAGAGTTTTTCCTCTCAGTCTCCAACCCTCCATGGCCTGCAATTAATCACTTTCCCTGAATGGATCTACTTACTCTATTTTGCAAAAAAATTAATCCTCATGCAATCTCAGACATCACAGGGACAGGTCCTGGGATAACTGCTCTTTCCTACATTAAAGTCATTTTTTTTTGAGTTCAGACTGGTAGCCACCAAACTTTATCACCATCTCCACATGCCTATTGATGTCATGTCCACATCTTGTGCTCAGGTGTTCCTGTCATATTTTTCTGTTGTGTTTTGTACCTCTCAGTTGCACACATTTCTATTCTACCCGATGTGTGAGGCATTGCCAGCAAAACGGAGTAATTGAAACAGCTCTTTTACTGTGATTTTCATGGCAACTTATGCACTACAACCTTACCTTTTTCTGTATTGAGAGCTGAGCAGTTCCCCAGATTCAGTAACTGACTGGTAAATGTTGACTGAAGCATGACCTCTCCACACCAAGGATTCTCATACATTATTATATCTGCAAGAAAAAAGCAACTTTATCAACTCATGTGTTGACAATTTGAAATGTATCATATTTTTCTTGACTTTATAACCACCTTGCATACAGATGTGTAATGCACAGGGTTTGAAAGAGATCACTTGGAAACACAGTGATTATTTTTTTAAATCTACCAACACCATTTACAATGAGTTAGTGAAATTTTCTCATTAGTTTGATGTAACTGTTAAATTTATTAGCCCCCTAGCTGACACTGCTTAGGTCTGGTTTGTAGTAGAACTTGTACTTTTCAGGAACAACTGTTTTAAAACACTGACACCTTACAGCATAGCCCTGACTCTCCATGGCTGTGTCTGAGGGCAAACTTCCATGGAATAGCCAGTGTTCCACTGGCAGGATGACCGAGGACTCAATTGATGTAAGAAAGCAACTTACAAATGCTTAGCCATAGTTCCAAATTACTTGTTACATTCTTCTACTTTAAACAGGCATTTTTAAGATCCATATTTTAAAAAGGCAAACAAAAGAACTCTCACCTGTAAGCAGTATGATATCCCCAGGAAACACAGTAAGGGACCAAAATGCAGCACCACGCCACAGCACCACCTTTCTCTCAATTTCTGACTGGTCAATAACAACAATTGTTGCCACAGGAACTTTACATGAAGATTTTGGTTTAGTCTTCTTCTGTATCTCTTTGATATGACAAGGATGTACAACTGTGACCAAAATATTGTACTTTTGATTTTTGCTGCAGCAATTCTTAAGCAGTGATAGTTTCTTTTGGAGTTTCTTGAACTCTGCCATCCCGTCTGGATCCACTCTCACCCCGGAACCAGGTGGAGAAGAATTCAGTTTAGCTCTCTTGGATTTCAGCTGTCTTTTAAATGCTGAGTGAGAGAGATGAGAGGAATCTTCATGCTTGAGGGGTCTTTTAGAAGAGTTCTTGTGAGAACAGTTCCCTTGAGAGCACCGTATTCCAGAGCTCAACGGCTCAATATGGATTCCATTTACAAGTTGCTCAGCAGGAACATTAAGTTCTTGAAACTTTTCTGCATTTTCCTGAGCACTTTCTTCCTGTTTTATAGCTTTAATTGAAACATTTTCCCCATCATCCTCAGAACTAAAAAGTTCAAGAGAACTTGCATCCTCTTCCTCATATTCATTTCCAGTCACAGCAGTAGTACATGTTCCAACACCAGAATCACATTGGAAGTGATCATACTGTCCTTCCTCAGCTTTTTTGCCTGCTTCTGTTTCTGATAGTTTTACAATACTTTCCTGCATCTCATTCTGTGCAAAAACAGCCACCTGACTCAAAGTCACTACACTACGAAACTCTGTGTCTGCTGACACTGCAAAGTCTGCACAGTCATTTGGTTCTTTTGGTTTGGACTCCTGACTTTTTTGGAAAAACACATCCATACATGGACTTAGATGTTCATGACACTCACTTCTGCGAGCTGCCTGAAGTCCCACAGACCGTAGATGGATGCTGACCTGCTCAGTGCTGGCAACCAAAGCAGAAATGTCAGAGCTGCTAATTTCTGAAGGAGGGGCTTTTCTCTCAGTGAGCTCTGGGCAGCAGGCACCTGATGGTTTCTCTTGTCCAGCTGATTCTGCACAGCCCTGGGGCAGGTGTTCATCTGCAGCCTGATCTACATTTGCAGGTGCAAATGTATCTTTGGATTCTTCACAATCAGAGCAAGTTAAACTCGTGCTCTTTTTAGGCGTGCTGGTACAAGTCAGTGCCACAGGGGCAGGAGATGGCAAATCTTTTCCTTCCCTTGCCATGAACCTGCCCTGCTGAGCTCTGTCCCCACTGGAAGGGACCCCTGTGGGTGTGGAGCTCTCTGCCTGGGGCACAGAGGGGGCAGCAGCACCCCGGAGCGTCCCAGGAACAAACCCAGGGTTACACAAAAAGCGCAGCTCCCTCCACTGCTCACCAGCAGGGGCTGAGCTTTGCTCTGACCCCTCCCGTGGCCTCGGAATACTGGGGGCTCCCACAAAAATATGAATTTGAGGTCTTTCTGACATTTTTGACTGCTGTGTAAGTTTGAGTATAAATAAAGTGGTTTATGCAAAAAGCACAATAATAAATATTAGCAGATGCCAAGAAAAGGATTTTACTTTTTCTTTACAATTTTAAAAATACCTAAAATTCATGGGAATATTTCATAGTTTAACTGCTAAAAACACTACTTAACTACTTCAAGCCTATAAAAATAGATGTACAAAATCTATAAAAGGGAAATTATTTTAGAAATATTTAGCATTTATTTCTGTCAAATTTGCCCAGAAAAATAAATTTACAGCAACATTTCTGATTCTGATACATGGGAAGTTAAAATTAAGTTTAATTATGGACCTATTTGTCTTCATTTACTATTGCTAATTAAAGAGTCAAATGTGACTTAACTATTCAGTACTTGATTTTAACTCATCTTAAATAGATGTAAGACATCTTCACAGCATAGTTAGATCATTTCATCTCCCAGAAAATTACAGTTTCAACTAAATTATTAAAACACTAGAGCTATTTAAAATTAAAGTTTGCTAGGAATGCAATATTTTACATGCTATTTTGGCATGAAACTACTCTTTCAGGCTATTACTGATAAATAATAATTATTTAATAACCACTAAGAGGTCAGTAAAGCTTGAGCAGGTGATTTAGGATTTGCTTTAATTCATTTATGTAGTATCAAACTACTCAAGGAATTACTAGCTTTTCTAGCTAATTAAAAATAAGCCCACTTACACAGCACACAAAAAGAAGACCTTTTATTTTTTAAAATTTCTGCTGTATAATTATTATTTTAATATATGCAGAAACAGCTGTAACTGTTCCTTAAAGTGCTAATTACAGCTACTTGTTTTGGGAGTGCTGTTGCTAATAGAAATTGCTTCAATAGGCAATTCTGCAGATGTAGAGAACACCAGGAAAAATACGACAGCTGTAAATAGAAGGAAAAGACCATTGAAACAAATGCAGCATTGAAAAATGTGCAAGTTTTTCATTCAGCACTAATTAAATTAGCAATTGTTTCCTAACAACCCCACTAGGGGTCAATAAATCTGCACGTTCATAAGGCTCAGTGTAACATGGAAAAACCATAAACACCCCAGAATAGTGATCTCTGGTATGTCACTGCTGTCACTAGAAAAGCAACATACATCACTAAAATTAGATAGGGCAAAATACAAACAAACTACAAAACCCAGAGACTAGTATTGATCACTTTTATGCTCATAACAAAATAAATACCACTTAAATCATTGGAGTGTTCAAACTTCTGCAGTTGTACATTTAAATCTAGTCCCAGAAAATGTAACTTTTAAAGGACAATACCCAAAGCTGTGAAAGCTTTGAGTTATATAAAGAATGGTAACATACAAATAACCAGAAGAACAGAATTTATTGTCAATATTAAAGTAGTGGATCAGGTAAGGGAAAGACTAAGCAAAATGATAGTGAGTTTGAATCCCTAAAGAAGTGATGTTAAGTTTCGTAGATAAAAGGCTACCAATACATGATGTAAAAAGCTTAGTAACAGATCTGTGACAAACAATGTTACTATCAGTTCAAATGACCTTAGTAAATGTCCAGTTATATAGTAATTTATCAGCCCCTCATTTTAAGTATCACTTCTCTTTTGTTTGTTGACATGTTTAAAGGTTTATAAGTCACACAAATTTCTCAAAGTTTTCCTTAACTTTCCAGTCTGTAACTTCTCTAAACTTAGGATTTGCTTTGCTGATTCACATTTTGCAGTGCCACTACTTTAAGGCCAGGCTGGGTGGGGCCCTGAGCAACTTGGTCTAGTGAAATGTGCCCATGACATAGGGTTTGGAACTTGATGATTTTTAAGAGTCTTTCTAACCTGAGCTGTTCTGTGAGTCTATGATCACACCAAAGGAATTGAATATTGATGTTATTTAATGTATGTTTGAAATGAAAGTATAACTAATATTTTCAAAACATAAATTACCTTAGGAATGGCAAGTGACCTCTGCCAATTTTCTGGTTCGTGTAACAGGTCCACTACTAAATGACCTACTTTGCAAATTCCAAGGGACTTTTTGGGTCAAAGATGTCAAACTCCTCCCTGTACTAGGAATCATCAGTACCTAAAATCATTTAAGCCTGTAAATCAGAAAGAAAAAAAAAATTAAGTTTACCTCAATTCTCTGTACACAAAAATGTTTAAAGAACTGTTGCTTTGCTGCTTTAGAACAGAATTATTACTCACTTCATGAGTTTTGTTAGTTAAGTACTACACCTTGTTATAAAAGTCTGAGAGAACAATTCACTTCAGATTTTAAAAGGTGAGCAAAAAAACTACCAATATTTTAGTAAAACTCTACTGCCACAAAAAAATCCATTTTATACTGTAGTTAAATTATCTGTGGGCAGACAGTAGGTTAACTAACTACACAAAAGATAACAAGAGCTAAAACTCATGAAGATAAAACTGAAACCTGAATGCACACATCCATTATACCTGTTAATTATTACACCATTTCCTAATTTGTGGAAAGGTGCTCTACTCCTAGAAGCCAATGAAAGCCACGCTTTTTATCTCTGAAATGGTCAGAGTCTGATTGACGGGTCAATGATCTATTAAAAAACAGTAACTACATCAGCAAGTTTTACATTTGCAAGGCACCGCAACTGAGGTTTAATATACAGAAATATATTATGCTAGATAGGGTATTTCCTCCAATCTAAACAGTAAGACAGGAATTCTAAATGTAAAGGTTTTTAAAACAAACTGTCATTAACAGATTGTTAATCTCTAGTGATTTGCTGCACATAGAATGAAATTTAAAATAGCTTTAAAAATCTTCTTCCCTCTACAAATGTTCTGATGCTACATACATGACCTTAAAGTATCCCTAAAACACCCTAAAAATACTCATCAATTTTATTCTGTATTTTTCTACTCATTAATAGTATTCACTCACCATGATAATCATTAAGCATTATGCCAAGGTAATTTGGAAGGACAAGAGGATGACACAGCTTCAGCTTCCTATAATTCCTGAATATTCACAGTAGTCACATGCCTAAATCTCTGTTTTGAGAAGTTACATCCAAATAGTCTCATCAAGTCTTTACTCAAGCCCTGTACACTAAAAGTAAACCATGCTAATTCAATCTCGTTAAGAGTTTCTTTATGTCTGTTACACACTACAAAGTTTCAAACTACAAATAAAATTACAGAAATAAAAGACAGCAATGCATCAGAAGACAAAGAACTATACCAATATAATGCCAAAGTGTACTTTCCCCTCTAGAAACACTAAAGTTTCAGGAGATAGTGTGTTCTTTTAACTTTCTGCTTTGATTTGCTGCAGCTTGATGAACATTCAAAATGCTAAGTGGTTAATGACTTGATCCCTAAAATATGCAAGAAAACATTATATTGTCCTTTACCTGCTGAAAAGCTGGCCCAGTAAGTAATAAATACATAAAGTAGGATATTTCTTAAATTCTAAATTTTAACTTCTATTGTGGACTTCATCCTCCCTTATTCACATACTTGACTTTATCCTCCTCCTACATGTGGTATAAAAAATTAAAGGATTGATTCATCTACCTTACAACAGAAGAAGCTGAATTATTCATAGCCATCTTCAGAGTATTTGGTTTCAGCTCAATTCAAGCTGTAGGGTTGTTTGGCTGCGCTTTTCTCTTTTCTACAACTCAACCCATCTGATTGTGGAGTAGCAAATCTACTAAGACAGCTGCCAACCAAAGGGAAACCAGAAAAACTTCTTGATGCAGAATTCTGATTACATCACAGGAAACTCTCCTGGCACTTTCACCATGCTGCTCAAATCTCCTTCCAAAATTCAACGTGATCTTTTTAAAAAGCCAGGCACTGGAGCTGTACAGTAACTTTAAAAGAATAAACAGCAAGCAGTGCAGTAAGAGTTTCATGCACTTAGAAACTGAAACAACTCTGGGATGAAGTGAGGAATGCATTACAGTTTGCTTGCAACTTGTGCAAGAAAAAGAAGGGTGATCCTTCTGCCAACAACTCCTGCTGGCACTGCAAGTGAATCAATATACCAGCAACAGCACCTATCTACTAAAACAATAAGCTTGGTCCAAATACATGTCGAGACAAACAATTGTGTTCGGAAAATAAAAACTGACAGAAGAACTCAAGCTAAGCACCTTGTAGCTGAAGCAAACTTACTCTACATAAAAGTGAGGGACGTATCATGTGGGTATAAAAGAAGATGATATGTGTAAGTAAATGGCAGTTCAAGGAGACTTACATGGGTTGCAGTAGGCAAGGCTGGTGGCACCTAACAAGAACTCAAGGGAACACAGATGTGGGAGAACACACACACACACACACACACACACACACAGAGGCAACTGGGTAAATGAACAGGTCTTATTTCTGTCATCCCCTGTTTGGTGATTGTAACAATCACCAAATGCCTTTTATCTGAATTTTAATACAAGGTTTCAGGCAAAGACTGTAGCCCTGTCCATAAATGGCCTGTCTAACCAAATGCAATTTTACACCAGGAGGATCATTTGGCTCACATACTAACACTGTGTTAGCACATGGAATACTGTGCACAGGCACTGCTGTCAACCAGACCTGGTGGTATAGCAAGAACCCTGCTAGTTGATATCAAAATTGTTGAAAACCACAAACCTTCATTTGCCTACAGCAGTATCTGTAATTAGCATAAAGTCACTTCTAAATGAGGTACTTAGGTTATTACTGACCATAAAATAATCTCTATTAGTACTTCTACTGAAGTTAAATAGCAGCATTCAGTATTTAGTTCTTACTGGCTATTACCAGAGGACTACAATAACATTTGGGCTCAAAATAGGTACAGCTGGTTTACAAGTACATAAAACCTGTATTCAGCAATACCTAGCCATAAACACGAGGTATCCAATTTTTTTTCCTTATTTGGAGCACGTTCAGTAACAAGATGATTTTTAGAATACAGAACACCTATGGTTTAGGTAACACAATAGAAACCTTCCTAAATACTCCTGCAGCAGCAGGGAAATAATTTAAACCAGAAATCAGCGTCCTAAGCTGTTCCGTAGCCTGACACCGTAAAAAATGTTAAATCAAAATACTGAGTAAGAAGAGGCAAGTTGTTCTTCATAACTATTACTGAACTATTCATATACAAAAAGAAGGCAAGCAATCAAATGGCATTGCTATTGCTAATATTTAATGTGCACCTACTTGCCTGCAGAATCAGGGCCTTGGTTTCTAAAGTTGTGCTCTAGAAGGAAAATATTTCCCTGGATTTGAAATGAAGACATTTCTTCTGTACATACAAGCTTGGGTCATATAAAAAGGGCATCTACTGAGCAGTTGCATCAGCCATTTTATTTTACCATTACTATTTTTTGAAACCAAATTATGCAAAATTTGAATTCTGATAATACACTTTCAATTCAGCCACTGAGATAGTCTTCATTGTGTTTGAAAATTGGAGTAAAGGTGATAGGCTTTTGTGATTAACTTGATAATTCTTTCCTCACAGCCTTTGTGCCTTTTGAGATGGCCCCTTAAGTAAATTCTATTTATTGATTTTTGTTTTGCAATACATGAAAACATATAATTAAGGAGATATGAGCATCCAGTGGCTGCTACAAACAAAAGAAGTCAGAAGTTCTGGAGAACACTGACCTTTTGAGTAGAAAAGAAAGATAAAGGTAGAAGGTGAAAGATACACAAATGTGCCATGCACGTTTCGTTGAAGAACACTCACTCCCTAACCCTTTATTTTTGAGAACTATTTAAACAACTAAACTGCTATACCTGCTGTCAAGAAATATGTTGTTCCATATATTTCAGCATATTAAAATACCTCACAATATCAGAATGACATCATTATGGCTTTTTTTAGAAAAACTATTTAGTTTGCAGAAAATATTCCACATGTATCATTACCAATGAAAATCTATGTTGGGACTGAAACCTGATAAACAGAGGTGGATAAAGCAATAGAGGACCTAAGATGAAAGCAAGGTAAATGGTGAAAGAAACATCACAATAGCCTGATTTCCATCAGATTAACTGCTGGTAGATTTGACTTATTAGGACCAGAAGATAGATATAGATATATATATATATACAAAAGAAATATTTAAAACACAAAGCCACCAATATTATTTTCCCATCTTCACAAAAGCCTTACTCAAAAAAGATGAAATTTCAAAATGAAAACCTGGATGCTGACTGCATGTTCATAGTCAAAAATGGGATATTGTCACTGTTTTGGACAACTGCCATAGGTAAGACTGTCCTTTTGCTTTTCTACTGTGGGAGACAGGGCGTTGAAAAGGTGTAATTCTGAAGTTTACCACAAAGTAATAAAGTAAAGTAATCTATTTTATTTCCACATAAGTAATCTACTAGTGCCATGAAAATGTCTTTCACTCCCCACAAGTGGTTAAGCTAGCAATAGACCTTAACAGAAGGTGCACTTCCTCTTGCCTTTAAGACAAGTGGGATACTTCTCATTTGTCAGCATCATGAAACAATGAAAGGTCACTGTCTGTCAACTGAAAAATCAGTCACCCACGCCAAGAAGTCATATTGGAGAACACAAGTCATCACTACAGCAAGTAATTTTCCAAGGCTGTTCAAAATGACAAGCTGCACAAGGAGCTCCAGAAGAAGCCATGTGGCACATGAGCCCACGAGACACCTTCAGACCAATAGCTCAATTATGACTTCATCTACTTCATCACTGTATATACAGGGTCCCTCCAGAAGAGCAAACAATTAACCTTGCTGCAAACATAAACAGCAGCAAGTACGTTTTGTCAGGACTGAACCTATGGCACCAGAGCTATCTAATTCCCTCCCCATGCCAAGCCACATTGTGCATATTTTATTTGTTCCTCTAGTGTGCAGCTACATCCTTTATGTGGCATCATCAGTGTATTTCTGTGAGGTTCAAAGGAGCTAGCAATTCAGTCCAATCAATAGCTGATCTCCTCAGTACTTCCATATCTCAGGAAGATGAAAGCTAGCTTTACACATTTCTACAGATCCAGTGTCTCAAAAGAAAAGTTCAAACACATGCTTTATTTGCAAGCATTGTAATTTAAACAAAACTCTTGAGAGATATTAACTACATGCTAGCATGACAGTAATGTCAGAATTTCAGTTCTTGTAAAGGCAAAGGATTTTCAAGATTATGCCAATATTTCCCTTTTGCATGCACCTCAAGAATACACTTCAGCTGTAAATGAAAAGGATTTGCTCTTCTATCTATAAGTTGAGAGCGTTAGGATTTTTTAAGAGATAAAGCTCCCTTAAGGAAACATAACCTTCAGACTTGAGCCAAACTGTCTCTGTACACTGGAGAAGAGCATTACAAAGATCACTGACGGTTCACTGCCCACACTTGCTCCTTGTTGTGGCCACAGAAGGAACACACCTACCTACTTCTTTGCAGAACTGCATGAACGTCAAACACTCTTTCCTGGCCATTCCAGTAAGTAGTAAAGTTGTTAATTTACTAGGGCACTGCAGGAAAACAAGACAAAAAATTCAAATTATTTTAAGTGAGTGAGAACTACAGTGAATCTTCTGGAAACAGAAACAAAGTTTTCAAAAGTCTTTTGGCATTTACCTATGAAAAAATTAAGATACGATAAATAAAGAAAATTAGCATTGGCTTTTTAATATATAAGCCTTTACATTTCAATGGTTTAGATGGATGTTAGTTTAGCAAACTGGTTAAGCTTTAACAGGGAACAGGTGACACTGAGTAACTATCAACATAGCTGACTGAGCCAAAGGTGCCTTTTAGATGCAAATTTCCTTATTTCAAAGGCGTAGCTTTTCTCTCAGACTTTAGGACAGCAATGCACTTTGACTATTTATTAAAAGTAATTTGACTGATTCTACTTCAAGCAATTGTACATCACAATTTTCTATTCTACTGCCCCAAAAAGTTAACGGAAATCATTACAATTGAACAAAATGTGAATGAAGTGTACTAATTAAATGCCAGAAACGCTGATTTGGCCTGTACCCTTTTCCATAGTAATTCAGTTGTCTGAAAACACCTCAAGAAAAATCAAAAAAGTCAAGGTATGATGTAACAAGTCATCCTGGATCTCCCTCTACTGTTCCAAATCATAGTGTGTAGCAGCAGGGCACAGCAGCATAGTCACAGGTAAAAACCTTCCTGTACCTTTGTTCTCAAAGCACATCATTTTCTTCATTGTTTTTGTTCAAGGCAATACTTCAATTATTATCTGTACTGTGCCATTATTGCTGAGTACCTTCACTCAGCTGCCTTTGATTCAGTAACTTTTAGAAATGTTTTTATTACTTGCAGTACTGCATAGTTGTGCCCCTGAAATTTTAAGTTGTTTAACTTGCAAAGCTCCTGAAGTATGAAGAGTTAAGGATGGAAACTAAAGGGATTTATCTATTTATTCATTTGTCTTCATACAGAAATTGCTCCAATCTGAAGTAAAACTATAAATTGCTTCTTTCTGCAATATAATGCAAAGAGAGTAGAGATTATAAAGAAATGGTCACCTCATAGCTTAACTCCTTCTGTATTAGAACTGCAATCCTGTTTGCAAATGCAATTCTTTTTCTGTCTGCCAGCTGTTGCAAGTTCTATACTTGATTTTCACTAGAATAGAAACAATAGGACTGATGTACACAAGGCCCATATTGGCTATTAGTACACTAGCATATTCTTTATCTAGAAAACCATGTGAGCTGCTATACAAAGCTAAAATCGCAATATTCTTCAAAACATTTTTTGAAAAACACTAGCAGAAAGTTTTCACATAGAACAGAAACGACAGTGCTAATGTTAGAAATCTATCTCTTCAACAGGAGTTCTATTTAATGCCCCAACACACATATGGTACTAAGGTAGCTCTGAAGAGTGTTTTGTAACCCACCCTTACTCCATGTCAAGTGACATCATTTACAGACAGACAGCTACTGCTCCGTGTAACTCGTGGTGCTTTAATGCCACACACATGCACCTGAATTTTACATTCTGTAAAAACATGAAAGGGGAAAATTAGAGGTGAAGAAACAAAGCAATTTGCAATCCATTCCATATCAAAGTACTCTTTGGTATCAGCTAATGACTTGAGTAACTCCAGGTTTAACTTGCTTGTGTTAGGAAGCACGTGGAATATAAATGAATAGCTTTGGTAGTATTGAGCACATGACAGGAAATTAGTAAATACATATTGGTTTCCCTTCCAATAAATTTCACATTAAAACCTGTTTATATGAGCTTACTTTAAAAGATTTTAAAATTAGCAGATAAAGCAAAAAATCCAAAAAGCTATTACACTTAACATGTGATCCATTATCTCTCTCTAGAGATTAGTAATCTTTACAACAGACCAGAGATACAGGAATTCAAAAAGCAATACAGTTTGTTCTATCTTGGCTCATGTTCTGAATTATCTGGCATTGCATTCCAAGAACTACAATTATGTTAACATTACATTTTATATTAAAACTTTATCTTGTAGGTCAAGCTAGCATATCATCTAAATGAGTGCCAGTTTAGGAGCCATGTGCTCATAAAAAACATTAAGTGAGGTATGGCAACAGTTCACGTTAAGCACTATGAAACACTGGAGCAGAAGAAAAATTTGAGATAAATAAAAGACATAAAACTAAACCACTAAGACATCATATTTGTCAGCACAAATCTATAAAGCAGCAAATGGAGATTTAGTTTATATAATGGAAATCAGATTAAAAAATAATTGAAGGTATCTTTTCAAAAATAAGATAGCATTCATTCAGTAAATACAAGGTATTCAGACACAAGTGAAAATCAAAATATTAACATACTTCTCTCAACAGCAACTTTATGACACTACAATATATAAACAATATGTTATGAACTTCAGCTTTCTGCCAACAGAAAAACCATGCAGAAAACTGAACAGTCTGATCACAGTGAGAAAAAAATTAGTGATAGGTACGGATGCAGTTTGACAAAAATGAGCAAGTGCAAGAACATGATTTGATGAAGCTAAAAAGAAAAACATCCAAAATAATGTCCATTAAAATGCATTCAAAAATTGCCTCATTAAAAAAGGCAAATATAGAAGAGGGAAGAGGTAACATTATAAGAATTAAGAACTGTGCAATCATAGTGTGTAGTTTTTAAGTCCTTCATACATTATGATGTTACTTGCCATTTCTTTCTCTATATGGCAAACAAGTAAGTTTTACTATACCAGCTCTGATGGAAGTTAAGATTCCAATCCCAAATGGGAAGCAGCTGTCAAGTCCCTTTACCTATGGCTAATCCCTTTAACTGGGCAAACACAGTGTTTAAAAAACAAGTACTTCCATTTTATTTCCAGGCAAGTTTAAAGGATAAAGTTCTGATCCTGGAAGCTGTTCTATGCAGTTCTCTTCTCCAGGCAGCTCTGAAGTGACAAACTGTTTAGTGGGCATCTCAGCTTTCCTTGGAGCATGCAAACATGGAGAAGGAAGCTGTCCATCAGCAGCATTCTCCACAGCTTAGCATTTGAAAGCCACTTATGCTGTACTTCTGGGTCCTCTCCAAAGAGAGCCCAACTTCCTAAGACTGTGAATATCAAAAAAATGAAAGCCCCTTAAAAAACGTCTTGACTTACATTCACCTTTCAACAATGAAAATTTCATTCTTGCAGCCAACATCAGTATTTTAGAAAGATGTGGGGAAACTTTACCCAAAGAGGTCAAACTCTATTCTTTCAAATTCTCAATAGATCATCTTATATAAATAAAAATACAGTTTAGAGGGGACTGAAGCTGTTCCAATGTAGAAGCTATCTAGGCTTTTCCACATTACATTGGCTTTCCAGTCTAGTTCCAGGCTCCATGACAGAAATTTGCCACCATGCTTCACATTAATAAGAGTACTCATGATACTTCAAGAGTAGTTCTAGCCCATTATTGTAAAAATTAAATAATGACTTCTCAGCACAGGAACTAGATGTCAAGAGGAGAACTAGTGGCAGAAAGCTTGCCACTGATCTCTAGGATTAGTACTGCTTTGCAAGCATTGATGCAATGAGGGGTTTGAGCTTATTCCAAGAATGAAAGTCTCACACCTGGGAAGCCAGAGCTCTGCCTCCTAGGGCTCCTTTGCTGGACACAGGAAGGCCAGGGAACAGCCCAACTGCAAAGTCTTTATTCCCAACAGGTCCTTTAGAATTAGCAATCCATGCAGTTACAAAGCTAATAAAGTCACCTTCCTCCACCTTATCTAAATTTTATGCTCTTTTACAATCTAGGGTGGGAAAACAGAAAACAAAAACAACTCTAAGTTCAAGAAACTACACTGCTTTAAACAAACTGATCTGACATTCTCAGCAAAAAAAGCACAATCATATCTACACTGGCATATTCCCAAAGAACTCACGCCAATCCCAGTATTTATCTTCTTTGCTTGCTGAGTAATTCCACCTTACTTAGCATTTCAGAAATTTTTCTAACCATAGGTCAAATTATATTACCTACTCCTCACCTGCCATCATGCAACTTGCCAGATGAAGATTTGCTGACAGACTTCATTTCAGACATATTAATCATACAGTATGAAAACAATTGAAATTAAATCTACTGGCAAAACACAAATGTAACATATATGACAACCATTCCTTTTATCCAAACTGACCCATTAAAGTAGCTTATGGATGAAGCCATGGATAGTACTTGTTATTCCAAGAGCACTTCTGCTCGTTCCTCTATTACTTGTTTCTCTGGATTCTTTTAATTCAACAGAACCTGCAAAAGCTTACATAATTTCTATTTTTCATCATCTTCAACATAAAATTAATGAGCTGCAGTTCCATTAGACCTCACTATTTCTGTTCCTAGGAATGAGTAAATTGAATATGCTCCGAAAATGATAAAGATTCCAGACAAGAAGTATTTTACTTATCACTTTGGAAAATAATCACAGACTTTCCTATATTTCTTGAAGAAATCAAGTCTGATAGGAGAGAAACTGTATGAGTTTATTAGAAAACAAATTCCAGGAGCTTCTCCTTAAGAATACATACTGCCCATACTCCATAACTTCTGGCCCATATTAATTCAGATATGAGTACCTTACAAGTTTGTACAACCAGCTCAGTTCCAAGCAATACTTAAGGTTAATATGTCCTCCCCGTATTTTTAAGACTTTGGGAATAGATTATCATCTGTTTTGCCTTTTTTTTTTTTTTTTTTTTAATGGGAACTGAGGCAATGAAAGGTTTAAGTAACTTACTTTTGCTTGCACAGTACATTGAACCACATGTAGAACTCAGTGAGTCTTACATACTCCTACCTTAAACATGGCACTGCCATTCCCCAGTGCATAATCCCTCACCTTCTGGATAAGAAACAAAACTACCCTTTTCACCTCAGCTTTTCACCCTACCTCTTGAGATTTTAACAGTCATCATCCCTGGTTATACCATTTCTATATCTACAATTCTCTCTTCCTGCAATATGAGATTTATTGTCCTCTGCTTTTATTCCTTACTTGAGGTCTCAGGTGCTGGTTTACATGCACAAAATAATCAAATGATTCAAAGTCAGGATTAACACAAGGCATCTGATGTAACTTTTTTTTCTTTGTTAAGTTCCTAAACCTCATACACTATTTGAATGAAGTTCTCTCTTACCTTATATTGCAAAACTCACCCACACAATCACACCTTAGTTTTCAAAATGTTAAGAATTACTTTAAGTCCTGAGGCAGTGCCCTATATTCTATTGTGACTTTAGGACTCTGGGAGAAAAAAGACAAGTGTTTCGCCACATAACAGGCTTTTTTTTCCTTTAAGTTAACAGGCCCATTAACTTCTTTAACTTACATAACCTTCACTGAATTAGCCATCTAATAAACAAGAATAAATTGTACCTAAAACTGAGTAACATTAATGGACTTGCACTGCAAGTGTGAGTTCAGTGTAGGTGAGGGGTAAAGTATTTAGAGAGAAGAGAACAGTGAAGGAGAGTGGCTTCTGACTCCATCCTTCACCTATTCATTTTTACTTTGAGGTTTTTGGTCACACAAGGAAGAAGCTCAATTTCTGCTTAGGCAGCCCAGTGTTACATTGATGTAAATGCCACCATGATAATGCAGCCTTAAAACCTGAGGCGAACATCTTAGCATCCTTTGTTCAAGCACGCTGACCTCTAACGATAACTGAACGATCTAAAAGCATACATGATTTAGATTGCCATTTAGTGTTTCTTTACTAAAGAAAAACAGCAGGCTTATGTGAAAACTGATAAGACAAAAGAAACCAGGATAAGCTTTTACAACTTCCATGGTGATTTTAACTCATTTAGTCAGAAGACAACAATAAAGTAGTCCTTCTGAAAGCAGAAAATCTGTTATGCAGAGACCCTACCTTTTCAGTAATTCAAAACAGGCTTCATTTCAACCTACTGGCTTTCAAAGGAAAAAGTAGAAGAGATGAAGTAGAACAGGAAAGTTAGACATTATCTTGCCAACACTGACAAGATTAGACAATAAATAATAATCACGAAAAACTTGATACAGTGTTTTCAAAAACTGTTCAAGTGTGCTCAAGAAGGAACAATTTAATTAAAACAGAAATATTTCCTTTTCTGACCTATTTTCTCATTCTGAGATTCCTCTGGGATGAGCCATCCACCAGTGATTTTGTGCTGGATCTCTACATGCAGTGGACACCACAAACAATCCTGAGGTCTGTGAAAGAAGACCAAGAAAAGATATCACTATACACTTTTACATCTTTTCCCCCGAAGAAATCCATGATGTGTTGAACAATACCAGCCAATGCACTCCTGGAGTTTTCTGATAATACCAATTTCAATTATACCAACAAACTTGAATGGTAATTCTTAATACTTTGTATCTGGGCTTCACCCACCAACATATTTCACAGAAGATTTAAGCATTCAAGCATATTTTAACAATCTTGATTTCCATAACCACTCTTCCAAAGTGAAAGAGGCTAAAGTTGATTTTGCTAATAGAAATGCAAACAAAAGCACTGCAGGAAACTAGCATTCTCTAGTTCATAAGAACTTTAATGTTTGTTATTTAAACAATACACACTACATTTATGTCAACAACTTCTGACTGTCCATTGAGTATTAAACCAAGAAAAAACTGGTTTGCAGCCTCTGATGCTTTGATTCCAGGCTGGAAAGATTTGGGGTATAATTTTCAGCCAGACAGCCAAGGACACCAAGAGTTGCAAAAAAGATCCATTTCAATTGTAAATGTTACTTTCAAACAATTCTTATTTCACTCCTGGCAAACCACTGTCTACTATCTGTTATTTGCTATGTTAACTGAAGTAGACAGAAATTTTCTAAAAAACAATTTCCAGGAAATAAACTGACTAAAGTACTTTATTTTCCCCCTAACCTTATTTAAGAGAACAAAGCTGGCGTGTTCTGAGTCCATCTGTGGAAGATTTATGCCTGTATATCTATCAGCTTTCCCATTGCCAGCTTTTTCATCACCTAATTTCAAACACACTTAACAGCAAATGAGAATCACAAATATTTTTCAGGATTGGGTAACTACATCATGCCTTCTTTTGTCTTTTAAATTAGAAATGAGGAAATACCAATCAAAAGCTAAAGATTATGCCACAACGACACAAACCAGCTGCTTACACAGAATCTCACTGATATAGGAATTGAGAAAGGAGAAGCCTTCACAGTGACCTACAAAAGCCTCTATCATGAATGGCCACGTTGATGGGAAGGTCATTGAAATCAGATTAATTTGTTACTGACTTCAGCAAGCTTTGGGTCAGACCTGCTGCCTCCAGAGAGAACTACTTTTTGTCCTAGCCATCTGAAAATCAGAAGTGGTGTTACAGGGATAAGAGTCACTAAAAAGCATATTTAATCTTTATCATCTAGATTATCTGGCAACGCTCATTATCAATGTATTGATAGTAACAGTGCCAAAACATGGCACTGAGAATTTGTGTATCTATAGACTGCCTGATCAAGAGATGAGGGCATCAGCTCCTATATACATGAAGAGCTTTTTTTATCTGCTCTGTCACAGAGCTGAAGTTACCAGTTGGCAACATCAGTCATCATGCACAGCAACTATATAAACAGATGGAGACAGAAGATCTTTAAAGCTAACAAACATCAGCACAGCCACTTTTCATGGAAATTAAAAATATTTGCTCATGAAGTAGTTATCATAATTTATTCAATATTTTGATTTCTGCAGCAGAATTATTAGCAAGTTAAAAGCTCAGAAAACTGCTCTGAACCACTTACTGAGGTAAGTTTTCCCAAGTACCTTCAACTTACAAATTAGGAATCCATGACAAATTCACATCATAAATAATGGGCTAATAGCTCTATTAGCAGAACTTCTGGAAATGTAAAGAAAAACAAAATCTTATGCTTAATTAAATAATAAATTTAAATATTACTTTGCCACAGATTATTTTTGTAGCAATGCTTCAAGCAAAAAAACAAGACACACTCTAGCCTACTCCCTACTAGGCTAAACCTAGAACTTCCTAATTTACTTACACAATTTTCAGTTTCACTCCCTACTTCTGCAGTGCTATAGCCAAGCAAAACCATAACTATTTACAGATGAATTAAAAAACAGCAGCTTATTACTTTAACTTAGCAGTCAGGAAAAACTTCAATTTAATGCAAAGTAATACATAAAAATATTAAATAATCAGACCACCAGTACCTAAGTATCTCATTAATAAGGCAAAGTATTGAAAGGTTTAAAGCCTTTATCTCAAATGGAAATAACGTGAATACCTCTTCTCCAATTTTGCAACATTGCAGCAAGCACATCTCAAATTTGCAACATGTGCAAATTAACTTCTGCATCCTGCCTGGAAAAACCGCCAAATTCGGGTTCTTTTTATCAAGGCAAAAGGAGTAAATGAAGAAAACCTATAAGTCTGCTCTCCAGAGCTGCTATGGCTCAACACAGCTGAAGCTATTTATAGAGGAAAGGCTCTAAACCAATAGATCTCAGTACTGGCATCTTATGCCATCAGGAAAATGGCTTTTAATAAGCTTTGGTCTCTGACTGGTTGTAAACAGATGACTGAAATGAAGATTTCTAGTCAAGTGTTCATTTGGTAAAAGTGGTCATATAGACAGTCCCAAATTAATGGAATCTTCTGGGATTCACCTACTTCATGTGCTGCCTGTGGCAGCATCTTACTGGGACAGCCCTCCAGCAACAGCAAAGCCACAAAACTGCTCCACACGTCCCAGTTTGTTCCTGTCACATCACGTACTGGCTAGGCATAGAAAAGGGAAGAATATAATCAAGAAATATGGTACTCAGAGTACAACAATTTATTCACAAATTTGGAATTAAAATTAACATCAGATTACATTAATTATTCCTTAGATCCTTTAATCTGTAGCACATTTGTTTCATTTAAAAATACATCTTTGAAAGAACAAATGCTGTACCAACATTACCTCCCATTACTCTTGACTGAATGCTGGTACATTCTCCTGCAGATAAAGAAATTGCCATCTCTATTTTGACATCCTATGCCAAAACCAATTAGACATGAAGTTTGTACTTTAAAGCATTGGTGGAAAATAAAACCCATGAACTTGAGATGTTCTCAAGTCAAAGATCTGGAAAATAATTAGATTTCTATTTGGTACTATTTTAATACATTTTGCCCCAGTATGCAGGCAGTTCCCATGCAGAAGGATTTCTATGAAGTCCTACACACTTGATGCTCATCTGCATCGTCTCCATTTAACACAAACACAGAGGATTTTAGCCAAGAGGTGTGTGAACAGCACTACACTTCCCATTCCTGTCAGATTCATACCCTCCCATTCACCCAGCAACTATTATGCAACTGTCCAGAGATCTGTTGACTCGACAGAGGCTGAACAGTTTCTGCAGCAGTTTGGGGTAAGAAAATAACCCCAACTCTCACCTATTTAGCTACACTTCCAAGGTAGCTACATAAAGCAGTACAGCATAACATCTAAGCCCAGAGGCTGAACAGTTTCTGCAGCAGTTTGGGGTAAGAAAATAACCCCAGCTCTCACCTATTTAGCTACACCTCCAAGGCAGCTACATAAGGTGCAATGAGGAATGGAAACATAAGTGCTCATATAGGCAATTCAAAGGCAAACAACTTGCTTCAATTTTTACTTGGAATTTATCTCCATTAATTTTTTAAGCAAAGGGACTTTGCTTTATCTGTCAAGTGCTTAATGTGGTATGGCTCACAACTTAAAATCAAATTTTCTGAAACAACTGTAATTCCGTCTGCAGTTTATTTCAAAAGCAATTTGTCTTCCCAGAAGACAATTTACCACAGAAAGGAATTGGTCCTCTGTACAGATAAACTTTCTTCCAGAGCGTGTTGTCCAACAGAGGCTCAGACTCTGCACTGGAGGCAACCCCAGGGTTACCCTGGATTTCCAGGGCTCAGGCAGCCAAGGGCACAGCTATCCAGAGCCCTGGGAGGATCCCTGACTTGCAGCTTCTCTGCTCCTTCTCATCTGCTCTGGTCAGCTGGTAATAAGACTGGGAAGTGAGCTGGGAATAGCTATTCCAGTTCCTGAGGGAATTCAGCACCAGTACATCCTGGGAATGTTTTAGCCCAAATAGCTAGTACTTCAAATAATAAATGGATTAAAGCAGGAAGTATTTGATTCTTGTCTTAGATCCCTTTTCTCAATAAAACTTTTAATTCCGACACATAAAATTACTCCACCTGCTACAAAATTGCTAATAAATTTTAAGGTAGCAAAATTGCTACCTTAAAACAGTAGATTGCTTTAGGAAGGCACAATACAGTGCTCATTGTAGTTCTTATCTATAATAAAAATAACCCGTTAAAATTTATATACATTTTGAAATATGTATATAAATTACAAGAAATTAAATCAAGTTGTTTGTCTCCCTGAGTTATACTTCACAGATTTTAAGTGGAAACTGATACCTGTCATGTACATACAGTTGAAAACGACCTTGCTGCAAAGTCCATTAATAATACAGACAGCTCCTATCACACAGGTATTGAGTTTTCTCTACTCATCTCTCTCTTCAGATGTAGTCCTAAGACCAAAACTTCGTATAAAATTAATGAAGTTAGTGAAGCTCCTGACTGTGAAGACAAAACGTTATCTTTTAATCCACCCTAGCGATTTTGTTTTTACCAATGCTACTCAAACGTGAATTTTCTGATGGCACCCCACATGGCATATGAGAGCAAAGAAGATACAGCTCCTCTTTTAGTATTGCAACTACCACTTTCATGCCTGCTAGAACTCATTCTGAAGCATGCCATTTCTAATTTCCTCTGGCAAACTGATTTTGATTCAACTGCTCAGTGCTTAGCACGTAAGAATTCTGGAATGAAAATTCTCCTGCCTCCAGAAAGGACTTGAATCAAACAGAAATTCAGTACAGACCTGCTGAGTTTGGTAAACTGCACACATTATTTCAGTCATAAAAATATGCCAAATAAAACTCCTTAGTTATCTTATCTCCTACAATGTTTAAAGACTAAGAAATTTAACATGCTGATCTAGTTATTCTCAGCATTCAACACACAGCTTGTAAAACATTTTTCCGAATTCCAGTCTTGTTTAGAAAGGAGGATATGTATGGTACAGCCATTGCTTCAAATACAACTGTGACTGAGCCTCTGGAGAGATCCACGTGGTTCCCACATTGTCATGTCCCATGCTCAGCCTCAAATACATCCACACACGTGTGCTACAAACAGGCTGATACTGCAAGCAGCTGATAATTGAGTGTGCTCGGAAATCAGAGAGAACACAGCTGAAAGCAGGACAGGAGCTAAGCACATTAACCTTAACATCTAATTCTACATGCTTGAGCAAACTGGCTAATCACATTCTTCATTTAACCTCTGTGTTTCTGCAATGACATTCCAACCTACAGAACAAGGTGGAAACAATTACCTGATAAGGACTAATTGCACAATACCTCTCATCACCTTCTTTCCTAGGCATTTACAAAATTTAAGCACTTGTAAAGAAAGTGAGCTTTAGCTAATGAGAACATGCAGATGACTGAAATCAAGTAGTAGCTCAAAGCTGATACAACCACTGAGATCACTGCAGTTCTGTGAACTGAAAATTAACACTAAAATAGAAGTTTTCCATAAACCACCTATACTATGGACTGAAAACCAAATCAGTAAGCTTATTTCTGAAGCCCTGTGTGAACATCCAAACAAGAAACTGGACTAAGAACCAGCTCCTTTCTTGATTTTTCCCCCTATATCACTATCAAGCATCTTTCTTCTCTAGACTACAATTATAAACCATCTTCATCACTGATAAAAACCAGCCTGATTAGTAGTCCTTAAGAGAACTTCTTCAAATCCTCAGGACAGAGAGCAACATTAAATCAAGATAAAAATAGAGCATCAATTGCCTGAAGAGTTTATTTGAGTTAAAGAATCTGTGACTAATCTCCCTGCTGACAAATACACACACAAGTTAAATTGCTTTCCCACAAGCCTTGTAGCACAACCCATAGTGGTTAGAGAGATTCCCACAGCGATAAAACAACTTCCTGGTTATTCCTGGCTTAGGGGCATTGGTCTCTCACAAGCTTAAGAAGAAAAAATACCCACTGTATTTTCCAATTAGCACCCCAAACCGACAGAAAATTAACAAGCCACTTAAGTATTCTAAAATAAAGTTAGTTCAATAGTACAGGACACCATCTCTCATGCTCTGAAAGCAGACCTTACACAGTTTCAAGAAATGTTCTTAAGAGATGGTGCCTGAGGTACACTTAAAAAATGGCCTTGAATGGACCAGGACCCAGCAAGATGAAAAACAGTGGAGCAGACAGAGTAGACAAATCTCAAGGTCTGTTCCAACCTCAGTGATCTAACGGTTCTGTGAACGCAGCCACGTTAACACCTTCACTCGAGGCCTCTGTCCCCTCTCGGCAGGGCAGTCCCTATACACACGTGGGAAAGCTGGGTTCTCCCAAGGCTCCTTTCCCCGGGAGCGCAGACCACGGTGTGTGAGCACGCCCTCGCTTGCGCTGTACTTGCGCCAAGAGAGGCCTGCTTTTTCACGCGGCACGTGAAGGCCGCTTGCCGCGGGCTGTCCGCGGCCCGCAGGGCCCGGCGGGGCGGGCCCTTGGCAGCGGCGGTCCGCGGGCGCGCCGCCCCCCCTGCAGCCCGCGTTTAAAGGCGGCGGCGCCTGGCCCCCGGCCCCTCCTGTGACAGCGGCAGCACCGCTCCGATCCTCGCTTCTGGCGGCCGCCGCCATGTACCGCTACTTGGGGGAGCTGCTGGCGTCCCGCCTGGCCGCCGGCTCGGTGCTGGCGGGCTCGGAGCCGGGCGGGCCGGCGGCGGCAGCGGCCGGGGGGGCAGTGGTGGCGGCGGCATGGGGCGGCGGCCGGTGTCCGCGGCGGCACTACTGCGAGGCGGCGAAGAAAGAGGACGACCCCAACTTCTTCAAGATGGTGGAGGGGTTCTTCGATCGCGGCGCCAGCATCGTGGAGGACAAGCTGGTGGAGGGGCTGCGCACCCGCGAGGGCATGGAGGAGCGGCGCCACCGCGTCCGCGGCATCCTCCGCATCATCAAGCCCTGCAACCATGTGCTCAGCGTTTCCTTCCCCATCAAGCGCGACAATGGCGAGTGGGAGGTGATCGAGGGCTACCGGGCGCAGCACAGCCAGCACCGCACGCCCTGCAAGGGAGGTGAGCCCCGCCGCCTCGCCGGGCCCGCGGAGGGCCGGGCCGCCCCGCCCCGCCGTGCCCCCGACCAGCCCCCCCTGTCCCGCCGCGCCTGCTGCCCGCCCGGCCAGCGGGCAGGCGGCTGCCTCGCTGTGCCACCCGTGGTATCCGACAGCCGAGGGAAGGCACGCGCAGGGCTGTTCCTCCAGCGCTCCGCTGTCCCGGCCCCGCCGGTGACCCCCGGGCCAGCCCCGGGGCCGGGTGTCACGGCCGCCGGCCGGGCCTTCGCCGCACCCACCGCCGGTCTGGCCCTAGGCATGGCGAGGAGATCCCCGCCTGATTTTAACTCGATGTGACTCAGACCTCGATAGTGTTTGTGGGGAAAGGGGGGAGCACCGTGCTAGAAGTGTCTGCGCGAGTCGAGAGCTGGAGGAACCACTGTCCCTTTACAGCCAGCTGTGTTCGCGAAAAGCTAGTGCTCACACCGAAAACATCCGTAGAGAAAAATAACAAGTTTTAATAACAAGTTAACTGTGGTTCCAGTTACCGGCTGGATACATAGTTAGACAAAAGTGATCTTTCTGGAAGTGGCTAGCTCTAGATAGGTGAGACCAACGACCTGCTCAGGGACCGAGGGGGTGAATCCCACCGGAGCTGAGCAGAGCTGGGCTCTCATGGGATCGGCCGTGGTCTCAGAGGAATCAGACTCCCTTTTAGTCTGGGATACATGGCATTTCCTTGAAAAACAAATACAGATGTCCTTCAGCATAACTTACTCAAGAGCTCTGATCTTTGTGGACATTTGAGTATTGGAAACCATTTCAGGTCTGTGACCCAAACCAGAGACTCTGTAGTCTGTAAACACTTTTTTTCTTTTTTTTTTTTTTTTTTTTAGTGTACATCAGCTTTATAGTAAGTAATGACGGTTACAGAAACCAAGCAATTTCTTATAAATGAAGTCGTCTAACTTCAAGACTAGATTAGGAAGGGTGTTCTCAGGTAAATGTGTTTGTGAGAATCAGTTCAGCTGGTATATATATGACATGAGGATTTCTCTCTGCAGCACAAATAGTGTGTCCTGTTAATGTGATTCCTAACATTCCAAAATCAAATGTCTAGTGAGTGTCCTGTAACATGCTGAATTCTTACCCAAAAGAGGCTAACTCAACTTTTGGTTGTTTACTTGAAGCAAGAATTACCATGAGACTCCAGCCAGCATGGGTGTGGCTGAAGTTTACTCTGTGTGAATCTACTGTTCTATACCATTGCTATAATTTCTTTTAAAATACCGATGGATATCACACTGCTGTTGTATTACTGCTTCAGCTGAGTTACTCTTTGCTGCTGCTTACAAAAAGTCCTTTGCTGTACAGTGTGTTACTTTAAAGGTCCTGCTTGCATAACAAAATGCAGTCCAGTGGCAAATGAAGTAATAAAATAATATTAATATATGATAGCTTCTGATATTTCACATTAGTACTGCTCATAAGGGAAGGAACTAATGTTTACACAACAATTAATTATAAAATGCATTGTACATGAACAAACCCCACCAACTGGGTGATTGGACGCTGTCCATTCTGATACCTACATTTCTAAATCCTCACCAGAATTTCTTGCTTTTTGGTGGCGTTTGTTATGCCTGTCTGCACTCACACTGAAGCAAACACTGGAGCACTTACAGGCAATTGAAAATGACAGCTCAAGAAAGTAGGAAGTCTCAGTAGTTTGTCCTTTTCTTCTTGTGTTGCTCCCCACCCCCTCTGAATTTAGGGAAGGAATTGCAAATGATATTTCCTTTCCCTTCTTCAGCACAGAGATCATTAATGGGTTTCACCTTCTACTGCTGTCTAGGAACTTGCTCACTATCAGGTGACAGATCTGAATTGGTAGTAAATTTAAATGGGGTGCATGATAAGCAAAGATCAATTGCTTGACACCCGCTATGAAAAAGGAGTGAGGAAGTAGAACATTTCTACTTTAATGACAAAGGAGTGGTAGAGATATTTCTGCATTTATTATGCATTTGATCCACCTGAAATGCAGCAACAACTTAAGCTTTTGTCCAAAAGGGATTTTTGAACTAGAATCCTAATACAATCCTCAGGGATAAAAGCACAAAGTCCAATGAAACCCAACTCCAAACTTCATATAACAGAATGAAATGGGGAAACTTGCTGAAGTGAGTGTCCCACACTTCCCCAGAGTGGACCCCAGAGTCCAATGCAAGTAATTCTCACCATCAAGAAACAGCAAGGGACATAAGAGCCCCTTCTAAAAGAAGGAGTGAGTTGGCAAGTGGAAGGCTTGCAAAGACATTAGGAGGAACACAGTTAGCCCATCTTTTCATATGCAAAACTGTGACCTTTAACTTTGTGCTTCCTGAGAAGTAAAATTTGGTAAAGCAAGCTTATCCATCCTGCTTTTTTTTTTTTTTTTTTTTTTTTTTTTTTTTTTTTTTTTTTGGTGTGTGTGTGTGTGTGTATTGTGTGTATTTGGTACTGAGAAAGAAATAGTGTTTAATTACTGCTAGATGATTGTAAGTGGGGATGCTTTGTCCTGTCTATTGTTCTTTCATGGAGCATTGTGCTTTAAAATCTCATCTCCTATATTTCTTGATGTTTACATAAACTGAAAGGTAAGAGATGCTGGTTAGAAAATATTAAATACTGTTCTGTATGCAGATTAGACAAATGATCAAAGTACACTTTAAGAATCAAGTAGGAAATGTAGGAGTACAAAAGTTTTTAGGTCTTTTAAAGGCTGTCCTCCTTTAATTGTTCCTAATTTTTTCAGTACATTCATGCCAAAATGTTTCATTAGCAGTTGTACATTACTTCTGTATGTCTTTCGGTTTATAAGAGCATTTACAGATTTAACCATGAACTAAGGAAGAATGTATACTGTAAATCAAATTTTAAAAACTTGATTTAAATGCCCTAAACTTGGACGCAGCTGAATTACTCAAAGAAAAAGAGTCTAAATAAACATTTTAATTATATGCACTTTAGCAGCCCCTTCTTATTTCTACTAAATGTTTGTAGTTAACAGTATAACATTTAGATTATGTTCCTTCTGTCAGAGGTATCTCAATTTCTTTGCCTGCTCATTCTCTGCTGGAGTGAAACCTCAGTCCCTGTTGAGTGGTCCAGCCCAAATATGAAAACTGCCAGACTCTAAGTGCAAGGTTTCTCTTTATAAATCTCACATGTGCATGCAAGTGATACCTGCAGGTATAAACCAGCAGTTCCTTGACTAGTAGTCCTTCCATACCTCCTCTGTACTGGCTTCTCTTTTGCTGCAAAGTAGAAATACCTCAGTAGAGTGAATGCCATGAAAATACATGCCAAGAAAATGCCATGACTCCTTTGAAAATGCAGGTCCTGAGTGGATGGATGACTAGCCTGATACAGCTGCATGAGGGCAAATCCAAGATCAGTCTTACATTTTTTGTATAGGCAAACTTCTACGCCTTGGTGAGAAACTCGACTGTCGTATTTCTATTCAAGAAGTACAATGCCCTTAATACCGTAATTCTAACAATCAAAAGCATTGTTAATAAAAATAGGAAGTTATTTAAAGGCTTTTCCTACTTTACTCTCTCCCCTCAAAGCACATGTAAGAACACAAGTCGGTTGTGTTGGATGTAGCTGTCATTACATAGCAGTGCAAGTGATTCTTCATTGGGTGAAGAAAAGTGCTTTTCTGGAAAAGAAGCATGAGGTACTGAAATATGCTGTCTTTTCAGTTTACAACTTTTGGTGGTTTTCCACCTTATTGAGAGAACCCAGAAATAACACTTCTTGTTGAATCTTGTGGTGCTTACCTATTTAATTGTTGTAGGAGTTAACCTTTAATTCTGCTTTGGGGGTTGCAAACTTTTGCAAGTTGAGAGAAGGTGGTGATTCTTTTTCTTAGCAGTGCTTCTCTGCTTTACTTTAGGAATCTTTACAGAACTGTCATGAATATCCCATTGAAGTGGTAGGTCTTGCAATATGTCCAGCATGCAAATCCAGGTTTTAAGGACTCAATTTTCTGCAATGTAACTGTTTACTAGAAAGGAAAAATCAGTTAGATGCCACCTCATCCCACTGAAAATATGGAATAAGCAGCTTTCTTGTGTGTTGGAACTCAGGTTGCTTATGCTCCAAATATAGTATTTATACAACTGGACTGATGCTGCCTGGTAGGTGGAGTAATGCTGTGGGTCACATCACTCTTTCCTATGCTGATGTGGTGACTTGCATGCCAGTGGCCAGTACTAACAGGAAACCACAGCTGCTCTTGTTCACTGCACTGACAGCTGCCTAAAGAAGTAAAACAAGCCAAATAGGGTACAGGAAATGAGATGTCTGAATACAGATGGCTTTGTTGGAAAGTACTCT